ACCCCACTCCAAAGGAAGGATACTGCAAAATCCCCATTTCATCCCTACTCCTGGGGGAAGGATATTGCAAAATCCCCATTCCCTCCCCATTCCAGAGGAAGGATACTGCAAAATCCCCATTCCATCCCCACTCCAGGGGAAGGATACTGCAAAATCCCCATTCCATCCCCACTCCATTGATACTGCAACATCTCCATTCCCACCCGACTCCAGAGGAAGGATACTGCAAAATCCCCTTTCCCTCTCCACTCCTGGGGGAAGGATATTGCAAAATCCCGATTCCCTCCCCACTCCAGGGAAAGGATACTGCAAAATCTCCATTCCCACCCCACTCTAGGGCCAGCCAGAGGTGGTATTTGCCGGTTCTCCCAACTGCTCAAAAATTTCCTCTACCGGTTCTCCAGAACCTGTCAGAACCTGCTGGATTTCACCCCTGCATTGAGGGCTGCATGAGGGTTGTGTTTGATCTTGGGTTTGACACCCCGGTCTAGTTTAATGAAAAGGGGGTGACGTGATAGCCATCTTCCAATATTTCAGGAGCTACCACAAAGAAGAGGGGGTCGACTTATTCTCCAAGAAGGCAGGACAAGAAGCAATGGATGGAAGCTAACCAAGCAGAGAAGCAACCTAGAACTAAGAAGAACTTTCCTGACATTAAGAACAAATTCATCAGTGGAACAACTTGCCACCGGAAGAATGGCAACTAGAAGACCTCTGAGGTTCCCTCCCCCTCCCCTTCCCCACTCTGTTCTTCTGTTACCTCATGGGGAGTGGGATTAAATGAATGGAGCTTCGAGTCCTTCATTCTGCATTTTCACAGTAAATAGAGTTGAAATTTACTATTCTTTTTATTTTTTTAATTGTACACCAACCAGAGTCCCTCTGTTGAGTGAGATGGGTGGCCAAGAAGAGACAGGACAGATACCGGTTCAGAATCGTAGGGGCTGGGGGGTGGGGAATCTCCTGCCAATTGGGCAGGGGGATGGACTACAAGACCTCCGAGGTCCCTTCCCAACTCTGCTTATTCTGCTTCGTACTCCTTCCCTGCTCCTTCCGGTTCAGCCAAAATCTGTGACTCAGGGAAAACGCTCCAGGCCCACGGGACAGGGAGGGGAGGGAAGGGAAGGGAAGGGAAGGAGGGAGGGGTGGCGGGAATACCCTCCGCTGGGCCGAGACAGCATCCTGTTTGCAAAGTAATCCACACCAGCCCCAGAGCGAGAAAACAGCAGCAGCGGTGCCAGGGAGAAGTCGGCCTCTGTACCAGCAGGCCGAGGCCTGAGGGTTGCCAAGGGAGGGATTAATCATTGGGGGGTTCCCCGCGGATCTCCCCACCGCCTCGCCACCTCAAGGGAAAGTGGCGTGAGATCCAGCTCTGAGTTGGCAAGAGAGGCCTGCTGGTTGTTTTTTTTCCTTGTCCCGGGACGGCAGGAGAGTTGCTGGGTTGAAGCGCCCACGGGGCTCCGTTGCAGCTTGCCGAGAGACTCAACCCGCTGCCCGGCCTCTGTGGCATTTGGCAGAGCCACATTGGAAGCTGGCAGGCCGCCACGTTGGCAGGAAGGAGCCTCCCCCTGGAACGGCCTTACGAAGGGCCCGGCCGGCTCCCAGCTGTTGGCAGAGGATTTTTGCAGAAATTAAAATTACTTAGGGGGTTGTTTTTTGGGGGGGGCGGGGTGGGGGGCTTACACAACGGTTTTGTGGGGTGGGTGGGCAGATTCACAAGCGTTCTCCTCTTTGGGTGTTTTCAGAGATATTGCTAGGCAACGGAATGCCTGGCCATGCGGCTAGTCCTCAGTGAGTTTGGCACTGGAAAGGTAGAAGAGGGTATCTGGAATTTTGGGAGCCCTCGGCCAATTTTAGCAGGGGAGGATAAATACAGGTAGTCCTTGACTTACAACCCTTCATTTAGTGACCGTTGGAAGTTACAGCAGCACTGAAAATAAGTAACTTATGGCCATTGCAGCAACCCCCGTGGTCAGGGGATCAAAACTCAGGCGCTTGGAAAACCGACTCATATTTATGACGGGGCGCCGCCACTCCCTTTTTGCGACCTTTTCTGACCAGCAAAGTCAAGGAGGAAGCCACATTCACTTCACATTCATGCGGCTAACTGAACAACTGCACTGCTTCGCTTAACAACCATGGCAAGAGATGTCGTAACATGGGTCAAAATCCACTGTCTCGCTTAGCCAGAGAAACGCGGCGCTCAATTGTGGTCGTAAGTCCAAGACAACCTGTAGTGTCTTCAATAAAATCTGAGCCTTCTTCTTCTAGCATAGTGTTTCTCAACCTTGGTAGCTTGAAGATGGGTGGACTACAACTCCCAGAATCCCCCAGCCAGCGCTGCTGGCTGGGGGGTTCTGGGAGTTGAAGTCCACCCATCTTCAAGCTTCCAAGGTTGAGAAACACTGTGTTAGAAGCTGACTGAGAATCTCCAGAGACTTGTGTCGCGTTAAGAATTCTCCCGGAACCAAAGTTTCCGCAGCCACGATTCCCGCCCGGACCGTCATCCCAGAGGCCCCGCCCAGGAACCGGAAGTCACTGGGAGAAAGAGCAGGACCTCAGGAGGAGGTCTCCTCGAGAGTAAGACTTGGGGCTAATTGGCCACTCCCTTAGCCTATTTAAGGAGGAACGCCGACTGAAGCAAGTTGTAGAGAACAACTTTAGTTCACTCTCCTTCGCGTCTGGATTCTCTGCAAATTGCTTCTGGGCTTTCTGCCAACTTTAGTAAAATTGCGATTACTTTATCTTTGGTTTCTTGTAGGCTGTTAAGAAAGTTTATTAACAGCCTTTGTTGGGAAGAGACTGAGTTATTTTAGTAAATTTAAGTTTGGTACAGACTTTGTGTGTTTGCTGTGTTCTTTGGGGTCCGTAGCTGGGGCAGAAGACATGCATGCACACCAGACACCGGAAGACCAAGTGGCCGGCATACATGCGTGCACTGGAAACCGGCAGATCATTTTCCTGGCGCACGCATGCACACTGGGCGCTGCTCTTCCGGTTTCCTGCACGCTCCCGTTTTGGCACTTGGTGCTGAAAAGTTTCGCAAACGGTGTCCTAGAGGCCTAGATCATTTGAGGCTTCGACAAGTGGCTGTCCAGTCTCTTCTTTAAAACCTCCAATGTTGGAGCATTCACAACTTCTGGAGGCCATCAGTTCCACCGGTTAATTGTTTTGTCGGGAAATTTCTCCTAGAATTTGTTTTTTTTTTAATTGGCCAAGTGTGATTGGACCCACAAGGAATTTGTCTTGGTGCATAAGCTCTCAGTGTACATAAAAGAAACGATACGTTTGTCAAGAATTATAAGCTATGATTAATGATAGTCACAGGGTACAAATAAGGAATCAAGAAACGATCAATATCAATATCAATCGTAAGGATCCAAGCAATAAAGTTACAGTCATGCAGTCATAAGTGGGAGGAGATGGGTGATAGGAACAATGAGAAGATGAGAAGATGAATAGTAATGCAGACTTAGTGAATAGTTTGACAGTGTTGAGGGAATTATTTGTTTAGCAGAGTGATGGCGTTCGGGAAAAAACTGTCCTTGTGTCACCACTGCACTTGTGTGCAGTGCTCTAAAGCATTGTTTTTGAGGGTAGGAATTGAAACAATTTATGTCCAGGATGCAAGGGGTCTATAGATATTTTCACAGCCCTCTTTTTGACTCGTGCAGTATACAGGTCCTCAATGGAAGGCAGGTTGGTAGCCATGGTTTTTTCTCCTTAGTTCTAGGTTGCTTCTCTCCTGGGTTAGTTGGGTTAGGAATACATTTGGGGTTGGATCATAAAATCGTCACCTAAGGAGCTCCGGAATCAGTCAGCAGAGAAACGGGTTAACACAGCAATCAAACGACGGAGAAAAGGGAAAGGAAGAGAGACGCCTTGTGGTCAACCTAGCATCCCGGAGACCATCTGACCTCTCATGCTAAATTTGAAGTTGGGTTTTTTTTTTTCCTGGCCTGCATTTTTCCAAACCGAATCTGGGCCAGAATGTTTATTGGAGATTTGCTGCCGCCTCCTGGCTGTAACCATTCAAAGCAGCTGACAATGATGGGATTTAAGAAACCAGGATAAGACTAGCCCAGATTTAGGGCCGCGTTCTCAGCTGATAAAGAGATGGGTGGACTGGGATTTTAACAGTCCTCTTTGGCAGACTCCAAAGTGTGGATTGTCGTAAGCGGACTACTAGCTAGGCAGCAGCTGAAAACTCCCCTTGCTCACTTACATACGTTTTGCTTCCAAACCGGATTAAAACCGAAGAGCTGTTCTTACAAGCCACTTCAGTTCATCGGAAAAGGAACATGGTTCAGTTTGTATCCGGGTCACATCTTTTCAGTTGTAAAGGCAAGTTTTTGCTCTCTTAGAAGGACATTGGCTCCCCTCAGTTTATTAATTAAACTTTCATTCCTTCTTTTATTTCTCTGTAAGTAACACAAGGCGACAAACATATCCAACACAGCTTCCTCCTTTTGTTTTTCCCCCACAACAACCTTGTGAGGTGGGCTGGGCTGTGAGAGAGGGGGTCTGGTCCAAAGACACCCAAGCCAGCTTTCAGGCCTAAGATGAGACTAGAACTCACCGTCACCTGGTGATTGGCCCAAAGTCACCCAGCCAGCTTTCATAGCTAAGGCAGAACTAGAACTCCCAGTCTCCTGGTGATTGGCCCAAAATCACCCAGCCGGCTTTCATAGCTAAGGCAGAACTAGAACTCCCAGTCTCCTGTTGATTGGCCCAAAATCACCCAGCCGGTTTTCGTCACTGTCTCCCCGTTTCTAGACCGGGCCTTAGCCAAACTGACTCTTCTAACTGTAGAATTAATTAATGCAAATTCTAAAAGTGACTTCCATTTTGGTTTCCCCCTTCTGTTTTCTCACCCGTGTCCCTTTAGAGACAAAGAGGCTGCATGGTGTACAACATTTTTGACTTCAATCCTTGGGAAGTGGCGGAAGTGGCGAACTCCCTTACGTAGTCTGAAAAAAAATTGCTAAATGACGCCAATCCTTATTTAAGAGTTTTATTGTTTACCTCCAAATTCTGGAAAATTGCACTCAATTTGCCACTGAATAGCAGAACACTGGCGGCGGACGGCGGGATGTTTGATTTGGGGCGAGCGCCTTAGCTCTGTCTCTAATGGAGACTGATTAGTTAAAATAGTGTTTGTCAACTTGGCCACTTTAAGAGGGGTGGACTTCAACTCCCAGAATTCCCCAGCCAGCATGGCTGGCTGGGGAATTCTGGGAGTTGAAGTCCACCCCTCTTAAAGCAGTGATGGTTGAGAAATACCAATTTAAGAATCAAGGGGTAAAGCCAGACACAAGAAAGGAACATGCTGGCATCATGTTCCTTTCATGCTCATCAAAGGATGAGATTTTACTGGGGCACGCTAAACACACAATGGCATTCTCTGATCTCCCCATTCTCTGCCATCTTTTCCTACTGGGGACTCAGAAGAATTCAGGAAGCAAGGTGGTAGTTTCCCCCACCGGCTACGAAACACACCGTCGCTATGAAGGTGAAAAGCTGATTTTTCTCCCCACCCGATTCAGGGAAGGTGAATCATGTACCAATGTACGTTTCCCAGCTCTTGTCATCAGCAGCGGGGGTGTCCCGGGGCCTTCCCCCTCCATCCCGGGAACTCAGGTCTTCGTTCCCGTCTCCTCCGTTTCCATACCGTCGGCGGCTTCCGGTTCCTCCCCGTCAAAATAACGCTCTTCCTCGTCTCTCGAGACAATGTCGAGGTTATCGAACTCTGGGTTCTCGTCGACTTCGCTGAGGGAGGAGTGGGAAGTCAGGGGAATAAAGGAGAGAGTGAAAAAGGAGGTCAGCGTTTTGCTGCGGGGAGTCCTCGCCGTACGACAATTCAGCCCAAAATCATCGTTGCTGGGCGAGACGGTTAAGTGAGTTCTTAACTGGCCATTAAGTCGATTTTTCCTCACTGTTCTAACTTCGAACTGTCACTAAGTGGTAAGTCCAGGGCTAAGTGTACTTCCAAGATGCCATGCCCAGAATAGGAGGTATTTGTGATTCTGGCTCCTGAGCCTGTCCTCACGGAGGAAGATGACTCTGAAAGTGATAGGGAGGAACTGACAAGGCCTCCCTCTCCAGGACCCTCCTTTCTGGCAACGCCTCAGGTTCCAGCTGAAGGCCAGGAGGAAAGCATGTCGGGGCACCCACTAATAGGGAGTGATGAAGATCAATCTTGGATTGATCCCAGGCAGCGTCGGAGGGAGAGGCGTGCGCAGCAAAGGAAGAGGTGGGGAAAGGCCAGAGATTGCTGAGTCACTGAGCCATGCCCCACAGGGGATAAAAGTGGGTGGAGTTGCTCTGCAGGCTCTGTGACGGACAAAAACTGCATATCGTGAGCTTCGGATGGGATACTTTTCGGAATTAAGGCTTGGACTTTGTGAATGACTTCTGACTACTCTTTGGTTGCCCCAGCAACGGACTACAGATACGCTGACTCCTGTTTCTAGAGGTGATAAGAAACTTGGCAGGCATTCGGAAAGTAGCTGCCAGAATTTTTATCTGCCAAAGGGATTCAGGTCGGCTTGTAAAAATAAATCACTGGTAGACATCTTTTGCTCGTGTGTCTGCCTATGTGAGGTGGGGGGACAGAACATCGCCCTTGGGAGCTGTATCAGGCCCAAAGGATCAAGAAAGGCACATGGGGTCACTTCTGAGCAAGTCCTATAGTAAAGATGCTACTGTTGTGGTCTGTCGGCCGCCGGCACCTCATAGGAGAAGGAGGCAGCGTGCGAGTCAGGGTCGGCATCAAGGCAACCTGAGAGCTCCGAGGAGGCAGAGGGAATGGAGCTGGCAGAGAGAGAGAGAGAGAGAGAGAGACAGAGGCGGAGCCTAGGCCGTCTGTCAGCCCTCAGATGGAGAGTCAACAGCCCCCAGGTCTGGAGGTGGCTGATAAGTAAGAGGAGGAACAGCTGGGTCCAGTGCCTGACACGCAGATGCGAGACAGCAGAGGAGAGGAGAGCAGTGGAAATCTATGAGCCGGTCCTTGGGACGGAAGAGCCACCGATGCTAGCAAAGCCCCATCCTAACATGGGGGATAAAAGGCAGGGGGCAGAGATGAATAGATGTGGCAGACAACGATTCATCTCCCCTGCCGGACAGGCTTGTTAGCCTGCGGTGAGAAGCTTTTTGCCAGGGCTGCTGGCGCTCCTAATAAAGCTCACATCAAAGGGTTTGTCGTGTTTGGGGAGCTGGGTCACAACAGCTATATTCTTGTGCATTTTTCCTCTTCCTGCCAGGCTGCTCTTTTTTTTCAATTTCGTGACGTTCTGACTGCTAGTAATTCAGAAGTGGGGAATGTATGAGCTGGGTTACCTGGGCCTGGCTTTCACAATCCATAAATCCAATTTAGTGTTAGATGTGCATGCAATTCCTGCAGGGATCTGTCCTGTCCCGAAGTCCTGTCCTTACCTGTAGTCAAAATCCAGATCCTTGCCCTCCAGGAAGTGCTGGTACATACGGCTCGTGAACTCTTCCCGCAGAAAAGCCTTCTCCTCCACATCGGGGACCCATTCGTCTGCATCAGGGTTAAAATCCTGGTCTAAAGAGGGAAGGACAGGAGGAGGGATGCTCAGCGTTTCTTCCAGGGCTGGGGACAAGCTGCCCTTCTCTGTTTTTATACGGCTTCCTTACTTTTATTTGTATTCCAACTTAATTAGGCGGGGTTATTAGGTGATGAACATATCTAACACAACTTCATCGTCTTTTAACAACCCCATAATCCCTTGTGGGGTGAAGTATGGGCAAGTGAATGGAGCTAGCAGAGTGTTTTAATGGCCGGATTCCCTTCCTGTCGCCAGAGCAGAGTTTTGTTCAGCAGATATATTCTCATTGTGCTGAGAGAGAGAAATATCTGCCTCTACCTAGGATCGAACTCACAGCCTCCTGATTGTGAGGTGAGAGCTCCACCTCTAGGCCACCGCAACACAACTTCCTCCTCCTATTTCCCCCCACAACAATCCTGCGAGGTGGATTGGGCTGAGAGACTGACTGACTAAGTCACCCAGCCGGCTTCCGTGCCTAAGGCAGGACTAGAATTCACCATCTCCTGGTGATTGGCTCAAAGTTATCCAACCAGCTTTCATGGTTATGGTGGGACTAGAACTCACCATCTCCTGGTGATTGGCTCAAAGTCACTCAACCAGCTTTCATGGTTATGGTGGGACTAGAACTCACCATCTCCTGGTGATTGGCTCAAAGTCACTCAACCAGCTTTCATGGTTATGGTGGGACTAGAACTCACCATCTCCTGGTGATTGGCCTAAAGTCACCCACCTGGCTTTCGTGCTTTACGGAAGGCAGGATTAGAACTCACTTTCCCCTGATTTTTAGCCAGATGCCTTAACCACGAGACCAAATTGGCTCTCCTACTACTCAGGATAGTAGAGGCAGCTTCCCCTAATCTTTAGGGAGACAAAAATCCTCCCTGGCAGTTTATGAGACAATAAGAAATGGATTAAATTGTATTTAATTTAGAATTTAATGTAATTGTAAATTAAATCCTATCTCTTATTCCCCATTTCCCCACAAAGCCTGGTGGCTCAGCAGACTGATAGCATTGTGATTAACACCAGCTGTCTGCAATTACTGCAAGTTCGAATCTCACCAGGCTCAAAGTCGACTCAGCCTTCCATCCTTTCTAAGGTAGGTAAAATGAGGACCCAGATTGTGGGGGCAATAAGCTGACTTTGTATAAAAATATACAAAAAAGAATGAAGGCTATTGCTTAACGCATTGTAAGCCGTCCTGAGTCTCCAGAGAAGGGCGGCATATAAATCAAATTAAAAAAAAAAAAAAAAAAAGCCACAGGTTCTCTGCTATTCCCTTCGAAGTGACTCGGCTGCTCTTAGGGCCTGGACCCCCTGAGATCCAACCACTAGATCCCACTTCCTTGTTTCACCTACCGTTGCTGTCCTGGTCACTGTCTTCCTCCTCCTCCTCTTGGCAGGCCTCTTCTTGCTCCTGCTGGATCAGCAACCTCTGCTGGATTACCTTTTCCTGGTAGGAATCTAGGAGGATGCCGGAGAGGGAGCAGGAAGCCTCCAGTTTACAGTGGCCCAGCTCCTGCAGCTCCTCGTCGCTCAGATACTGTCCGATGTACTGCTCATAAAGGAGGGGGTCCCGGCCCCTCATTTGCTCATCGCTGAAATATTCCCCATCTGCAAGGAATGGGGAGAGGGGTGTCTGTGAGCCTGGCGCATTGGTCTCTCTTCTCTCTCCCTTCTCACTCCCCCTCTCTCCATCCTCTTTTCTTTCTCCTCTCTCTCTCCCTCTCTCTTCTCTTTCTCTCTCTCCTTCCTTTTCTTTTTCTCTCTTCTCTCTCCCTCTTTCTTCTTGTTCACTCTCCCTCACTCTCCCCTTCTTTCTCTCTCCTTCTCTCTTCTCTTTCTCTCCTTCCTCCTCTCTCCCTCCCTCCCCCCCTCTCTCTAACACACATCCATCATATGCAGTCCAGACATTAGTAGAACAGCTGCCTTATAGTTCAGTCCAAGTTAAGAGCAGCAAAATTATTGCACTCCATACCCTGGAGAATAGTTAACAGGTCGTCTTGCTCTGTCATAATGTGTTATTACTTGGCAAAAACCAGGCAGCAGCCTGGTTGCTGCATTTTATACCAACTGAAGGTTCTGAGATCTCTTTTAAGAACAATCTAGGGAGAATTATTGCCAGAAAAAAACCTGTTTTCTTTTTCTTTCTTTCTTTCTTTCTTTCTTTCTTTCTTTCTTTCTTTCTTTCTTTCTTTCTTTCTTTCTTTCTTTCTTTCTTTCTTTTTCTTCCTTCCTTCTTTCCTTGCTTCCTTCCTTCTTCTCTTTCTTTCTTTCTTTCTCTTTCTTTCTATCATCTATCTATCTATCTATCTATCTATCTATCTATCTATCTATCTATCTATCTGTATCTATCTATCCACCCACCCATCATCCGTCCACCCACTCACCTACTTATCACTGTACCCATCCAACATTCATGCATCCCTCTCTCTCTCTCCCCCGCCCTCCCCCCATTTGGCTTAGTTACAGAGCAAACTCAAATTTCTGTCTTTGCGCAACGGAACTATCAACTAGCAAAATAACATGAACGACAAACAAGCTAAACAAGTAGCTAATATAGCACATTGTGGGCATTTGGTCTCTTGTCTAAGCTGGAGAACTATGCTGAATGAACTTAGTCCTATCATTGCAGTCAGCCACTAAGATATATTAGCAATTTTTTTTTTCATATTAATACCTGGAAGTCATGCTACTAAAATGGCACTTGTTCCTACCCTTTACTCCATAAATCCGCCAATCCACAGGTTCACTTTTAAAGAAACTTGTAACACCCCCCCCGCCCCCCAACTCAGGGCCCCGGTACCTCTGATGAGTTGTTGCAGAGCTGCGTAGCGCTTGTTCCTCACCCTAGTATGCAGGGTTTTGCCCAGGTTTGCTTTGCGGACCTCGGCGCAGTAAAAATCTGCCTCATAATTGCCAGAGAGATGTCGGAAACAGGGCAAGTGTTCTTCGCGCAGGACTGTTCGGAAGCGCTCCAGGAAGATCAGAGGCTTGGTGTGGTATAAATTCCGTAAAATGTCCAATTTCTGAGCTGGTGTAAAATCCGGCTCATCCTTCTGTTGGCTCTGGACTGCCAAGCGGCTGCTGGCCACAGCGTGGAACATGGCAAGCACAGCGGAGTCCTCCTCCTCCATGGGACTATCAATGACCACGTTTGAACCAGAGGACTTAAAATTCCCACTATTGTAATGTGACTGTTTGTAGCTGGAGGTCTCCTCTCTGTTGGGGGTGTCATTTTCAGCATCCAGGTCCCCCAATTTTTCAGCGCCTTGGTTAAAATCTTGGGTAGCCTTGCTCCCATTATTTGTGGCTGGGTTGTCTATCTTTAATTCACCCCAGCAGCAGGAGAGAGGTAGCCCCACTTTGGGCCTGTGTTTGTCCACAGAAAAATTTCGGCCTGGATGCCAAGCTTCCTCCTCCCTACGAGAAGGTGACTGAAATGTTCCTTTCCTGCTCAGGGAATAGTTGTGTGAATTTGGGATTCCTGACATTTGTTCTCCCCAATACGTGTGACCCCTAGGGGAACTGCCAACTGTCCCAAAGCTGCACATATCTGAGGCTGCAAATCTCTGGTCATCATCAGGAGACGCTTGGAAAGACCTATCAGAATCTCTGTTGCTCTGCGAAGGGCAACTTTTGCTTGCTGGAATTTCCATACTGTGATTTCTCGCCTCGATTTTGTCTGGAAAATTGCTTTCTGCCCTCTGTGGCAAACTACTTGCTTTTTCCTTTTTTTCTTAGGGAATCAACACCTGGAAAGAGAAAACAATTTTTATAACATTGAATCAAACAGATATCAAATGCCCCCAAGAGAGGGAATAACATCTAACTGTAGTGGGACGACCACAAGCCTGTGGCTCAGAAATAAATACAAATAAGCTGGTAGGACACACCCTACCAAGAGGTGTTCTGTGAAGCAAAGTTAAATTATAGAGAAGACAAATTCAAAATTATTTCAAGGAGTTATTTCAATGGTTACAAATTTTGGAAGGAAGACCTAAGATGATGTTGATAATAATATCTTAAAATGGAGACTTTAATGGCATGAAAAAGACAGAATGACTATCCAATGGAGTTGAAGGGTGGCAGAGAGAGGAAGAGCATGGCTCCCTCTTCCCCAGGGATACTGATGGTGGTGTGTCCCTGCAGGAAAAAAAAACTGCAGAAAAAACAATGGCCACCAACCTGCCTTCCATTGAGGACCTGTATACTACAAAAGTAAAAAAGAGGGAAATATGTGAAAATATTTACAGACCCCTCGCATCATGGACGTAAATTGTTTCAACTCCTACCCTCAAAACGACGCTATAGAGCACTGCACACCAGAACAACTAGACATAAGGACAGTTTTTTCCCGAACGCCATCACTCTGCTAAACAAATAATTCCCACAACACTGTCAAACTATTCACTAAGTCTGCATTACTATTAATCTTCTCATCGTTCCCATCACCCATCTCCTCCCACTTATGACTGTATGACTGTAATTTTATTGCTTGTATCCTTATGATTTATATTGATTGTTTCCTAGTGTGATTTGATTGCTTATTTGTACCCTCTGACTATCATTAAATGTTGTACCTTATGATTCTTGACAAATGTATCTTTTCTTTTTATGTACACCGAGAGCGTATGCACCAAAGACAAATTCCTTGCGTGTCCAATCACACTTGGCCAATGAAGAATTCTATTCTGATCAAGGGTAAAAGAGACTCAGATTTTTATAGTAGTTGGAACATGTGGTATGATTGGATCCAGAAACAATGGGAGAGAGATAAAGGATAATATTGGATTATAAATATAGATGATGGTATAATTATGGTAATCAATAAGTATTGGAAATGTAAATTTGTATATAAGAATATGTAAATAGTTTCTATTTTTACTTTCTGATTATTGGTGTATATATACATGGATATTTTCATTTCATTTCATTTTCATTTATTCAATTTGTATCCCGCCCTTCTCCTAGTGGACTCAGGGCGGTGCACAGCCAGAACTAAAACACGTACCAATACAAAATTTAAATTTTTAAAAAGAATTATATAACTTTGGCCCAAAATTTAAAACATTCAAACTAAAACCCATTGACAATTTAAAAGGCTAAAAAAAAAAAAGAGGGGGGGAGGGGGTTTCACGCCAGCTCTGCTTGATGGATTTTGGTGATGTTACACCGTGATAGAAAAACTATTATACATTTGTTTTTGTTTTTTTGAACTATAACAACAATTTATTCTATTCTATTCTATTCTATTCTATTTTCTATTCTATTCTATTCTATTCAGAAGCTATGGATCCCATCCAAGCAGCATTTCCAAATATTTAGACTTAAGGGCCCCAACTGGACAAAACCTCTAATGAGGCTCTACCTCAACCTGACGGACTGGAGGGGACTGGAAGCTAAAACATATAAAGAACCATGACTGGGATTGGGGGTATGTCTAGTTTAATGAAAAGAAAGACTAGGGATGACATGATAGCAATATTCAGGTATTTGAGGGGTTGCCACAAAAAAAAAAAAAGGAGTAAAACCTATTCTCTAAAAGAACCTGAGGGTAGGACAAGAAGCCATGGGTGGAAACTAATCAAGGAGAGAAGCAACTTAGAAATAAGGAGAAATTTCCTGACATTGAGGAAAAATTAACCAGTGGAACGACTTGCCACCAGAAGCTGTGAATGCTCCAACCCTGGAATTTTTTAAAGAAGAGATTGGAGAGCCATTTTGTCTGTGGAATGATTATAGGGTCTCCTGCCCTGAGTAGGGGGCTCGACTAGAAGACCTCAAAGGTCCCTCCCAACTCTTGTTATTCTGACCGCCAAAGGAAGAGGCGCCTTTCCAGGGCAACCATCCCCACTCCCACCCACCCACCCAAGGGAAGCCCAGGATGGAAGCTCACCGTTGGAAACGGCTCCCAAAGCTCATCCCGCTTCCTTCTTCGATCGACCGTCTTCGCGGGGGAAGGTAAATCAAGACGGACCGGCTTTTTCCCAGCGACTTCCGGTTCCTGGGCGGGGCCTCTGGGATGGCGCTCCGGGCGGGAATCGTGGCTGCGGAAACTTTGGTTCCGGGAGAATTCTTAACGCGACACAAGTCTCTGGAGATTCTCAGTCAGGCCTCTAACAGTGTTTCTCAACCTTGGAAGCTTGAAGATGGGTGGACTTCAATTCCCAGAATCCCCCAGCCAGCGTTGCTGGCTGGGGGATTCTGGGAGTTGAAGTCCACCCATCTTCAAGCTTCCAAGGTTGAGAAACACTGCTCTAACAAATACCCCTAACAGTATTGGAGGTCATCTAGCCCAATCCCCTGCTCACGCTACTAGGGATTTGAACCACCGACCTTCAGTGTCTTAGCCGCTGAGCCACCTAGTCAGGTTGTCCCAAAGGTGCTTTTTTTCAGGAGGCAACTGGACTTCGTTTTTTTTTCCTCTTTGAAAACGTTTCACTTCTCATCCAAGAAGCTGAGCCTTGGTGGTGCAGCAGACTAAAGCACTGTTAAGGAACACCAGCTGCCTGCAATGACTGCGAGTTCAAATCTCACCAGGCTCAAGGTTGACTCAGCCTTCCATGCTTTCGAGGGAGGTAAAATGAGGACCTGGATTGTGGGGGCAATAAGCTGACTTTGTATAAATATACAAAAGTATGAAGGCTATTGCTTAACGCCTTGTAAGCCGCCCTGAGTCTCCGGAAAAGGGTGGCATATAAATCAAATTAAAAAAAACAATAAATAAATAAAGTCCAGTTGCCTCCTGAAAAAAGGACCTTTGGGACAACCTGTGACCTGGATGACTGAGAATCTCTACAGTCTTATGAAGATTATTAATCATCCAGGTCACGGTTATCCCAAAGTGGCTTTTTCCAAAAAGCAACTGTTGTTCCTTCATGGGTCCCCCCCCCCCCACCTTTGAGGGAAGCTTCATCAGTTGTGGTGTCTCAGTCTCAGAACTGAAGAAGCTTCTTGGATGCGACGCGAAACGTCTTCGAGGAAAAACAAAAATCCAAAAGCTGCTTTTTGGAAAAGCACCTTTGAGATTCTAACTGGACAATGAAGAAAGAATGTGGGAGGAAGGAAGAGTTGGGAGAAAGATAGACAGGCCAGGATTTTTTAAAAAGGGGTGGGGGGAGTCACAATTGTAGCTGTAGGCCATCACAGGAAGACTATTTCCTGATATGTATATGTATTTTTCTTATTTTGACCATCTGGGTAAAAATAGGGAATCAACTCCCTAGGACCTTGTCAATGTAATCCACCTCACAGGGTTGGTGTTATGAGGAAAATAGGAGGCAAGGAGTATTAGGTTATGTTCACCCCTTCCAAAAAATTCCCTAAATCTAGCAATTGGGAAAAGTTCAACCAACTGAGGAAAAGCAGAGTATGGATAGTGTTGGTTTAAATCAGATCAAACCAAATCTTTATTCTCAATGCACTTGTTTATGATGTGGCTGATTCAAAGGCCAGTGCAAAGTACAGTTGTGGCCAAAATTGTGGAAACCTTTTGGGAAAAGTGTATTTTTGAGGTTTGAGGGCTAATAACACTACTTTTTTTTTTTTTGGACTTTCAAGATAATTCTATTCCACTGCTGGAATGGCCTGGGAATAGCCCAGACTTTAACCCAATTGAAAATCTATGGAGCCGAGTCGACTAAAGAAACTGGTTAATCAGAAGTGACCCAGCAATAAAACTAGGTTAATAGAAGCCATCCTTCAATCTTGGGTTTCATATTATTACAGCTGCAGAACTAAAAGACTTAGTTCACTCTGTGGGAAGACGTTGTAAGGCCGGAATTCATGCTCAAGGTTACCCAACTAAGTATTAACTGACATGGGGATCATTTTTGTATATCTCGTTTTTTTTCTACGTGTTTCCCTTTTCTTCTTTATACTGTCACTGCTATTCTAATAGTAAATCCTTCAAAAAAAGTTATTGCATTACATTCCTGATTAAATTATCTTTCCACTGATATATAATTTTATGGTACTACTCCCCCAAAAAGTGGTGTTATTAGCTAGTTTTAAAAAATAAACTTTTCCCAAAAGGTTTCCACAATTTTGGCCACTACTGTACATCCAGCTGCGGCTGTGTGCAGAGGCCAAAAGTGAAGTTTGAACTTGCAAAGTCACCTATAGCAGGTGTGTTCAACCTGGGCATCTTTAAGATCTGCGTCCAAAAGTGCTCTTCCAAAAGGCAACTGGCTTTTGGTTTTCCTTGAAAACTTTTCACTTCTCATCCAAGAAGCTTCTTCAGTTCTGAGACTGAGAGAGAACTGAAGAAGCTTCTTGGATGAGAAGTGAAACATCTTCAAAAGGAAAAAACAAGGAAGTCCAGTTGCCTCCTGAAAAAGCACCTTTGGGACAATCTGCATAGATTTTTAAGACCTGTGGACTTCCACCTCCCAGAATTCCCCACCCACCCACCAAGCTCCTTCTTTTTTTCATTCTTTGTTTGGAAGGACAGATACTGAAGCTGAAGTTCAAATACTTTGGCTACCAGATGAGACGGGAGGACGCACTGGAACAGACCCTGATGTTGGAAAAGATGGAAGGCAAGAGGAGAAGGGGACAGCAGAGGATGAGATGTTTACAGTGTCATCAACGCAATTCAATGAGCATAAATTTGGGAAAACTTTGGGAGACAGTGGAGGATGGGAGGGGGAGGGGAGGCCCTGGTTCACGGGGTTGCCAAGAGTCAGACACGACTGAAGAACAGCACCAACAATTTTTAAATGCTACAGTGCGCAGGTAGAGATAGAAACACGCAGGCGATTTAAAGTTCAATATTCATTCTTTTTCTCCAAATACAAAAAGCTGTTACAATTCAACTCAACACAAAGCATGTTCAGAGTTACAGAAACTGAAACGTCGTATAAAAAGTTACACATTTAAGATGATTCTCTCTCCCCCTTTTTTTAAATCCTCTCCTGTACTGAACTAACAGAATTGTTATCTTGATGAAAATATTAACAGCTACTGACCCACAGTAAAAAGTTACAGAAAAAAAAAAATTTCATTTTTTTTGTTTAAAAAAAAAATCATAATTACTGTAAGATAGATAGCTATTTCTCCTCCCCTCCAGTTTTAATGGTTATTTGCAAAAAGAAAAAAAAAAGAGACAGATAAAAACACCTCAAGACAGGGTGACACCAAACTGCAAGAAGTTTCCAAAAGGTGTGGAATTTATGGTCACTAGCAGATTGGGTGGAGGTGGGGTGGAGAGGGGAGAATTTGGAGGGGTGGGGGGAGTCTGCAGGATGTGGTCCATAAACAGGGTGGCCACAAAAATGAGTCAAATCCTTTTTTTAAAAAAAATGTGCACTGTGACCACAATCTTCTCTTAACTGGACCACCCCCTGCGGACACCTCTGGAGAGAATGGCGGTAAATCCTACGGGAGCCTCTTCCAATGCTGCCCCCCAACTACGGTAGGAAGTTTAGATAGCTGGATGGGTCCTGGCCTAAAAAAGAAAAAAAGTACAATTTTATGAACGCTGAAGACCCTAGCTTCTTACGGAATAAAACAAATCTTAAAAAGAAGAAAAAAAGAAAGGCTGAGGGGGAGCTAAACTGATCTTCAACAAGGAGAGACAAGGAATCATGTAACTTTCCTCATGAAGGTTGGTAGAAAGGACATAACATGCCTAGCTGTACAAGTAAAAACCCAACCATCCTCAAGAACTCTAGAGAGAGGGAAACTGGGCGGAAATAACCCAACTTCCCTCTTCTGGATCTCTCTCAAGATTCAGAAATGCCCGTCACTGTTAAGAACGTGCTGTTCCTTTTCCCTGGGGGGGGGGAACAACACCCTCCCGAGCGATCACTGTGTGCTTGAGCCTCCCTGCGAGGTGCCCGTGTAGCTCCCGTAGTCGTAGTTGCCGTAGTACTGAGGCCACTGACTCTGGTTTTGATAGTATTGATTCCATTGTTGGGTGTACTGTGGGAAAAAGGAGAAAATTGATCAGTGGACAGGTAATATTCCCTTGCTCCCTGCTTCATTTCCATCTGCTGGCTCATCTCAGTTGATGTCAGGTTTGTTTCCTCCCCTCCAAGGACCCTCGTCACAAAAGCTTAGGCTTAGAATAAGTTTATTGTCACTTTGGATGTACACTAATCGGCATACGTTAAAATGAAATTTCGTTGCATACAGCTCCCAAAGGGTCGCCACTCTCTAATATACACTACATAACCATGACAATATAAATAAATAATAAATAAATACAAAATTATGCATGTACCCACATATAGTAGCTTCCCTTGTCAAAGGCAAAGGACCAACAGGAGAATGAATAGCTGAGTTGGTGCAATGTATTACCCTGTTTTTTTTATTTATATGCCGTCCTTCTCCGGAGACTCAGGGCGGCTTACAGTGCGTTAAGCAACATTTTGTTTCCCCCAAAATGAGACATCCCTTGATAATAAGCCCAATCAGGCTTTTGAGCACATGGCAATAAGGCCAAGTGCTTATTTCAGGGTTCAAAAAAAAATATAAGACAGGGTCTTATTTTCGGGGAAACACGGTAAACCAGGGGTGTCCAACCTTGGCAACTTTTAAGACTTGTGGACTTCAACTCCCATGGCTGGCTGGGGAATTCTGGGAGTTGAAGTCCACAAGTCTTAAAAGTTGCCAAGCTTGGATATCGCTGCATTAAACTTATCAATTTGGAAGAGGACAGAACCACTGCTCCATTTTTGTACCCCACTACAAGTAGTCCTCGACGTACAGTCGCAATTGGGATCAGAATTTCCGTGGCTAAGCGAGTCACAGCCGATCCTTATGACCCTTTCGGGGCATGGCTACTAATCAAATCACTGCGGTTGTTAACTGAACCACACGGTCATTAATGAGAAGTCGGCTTCCACCGCTGGCATTGCTTGTCGGAAGCCAGCTAAGATCACAAGTGGCGATCGCATGGCCCCAGGGCCCTGTAATACATGGGTGGCCCCACAGTATCCTTTGAATGCACCAGGGTAGATCTTGCTTTTCCACACTTACCTGTTGGTACTGGTTGTAGTTGGGCTGACTGTAGGCTGGTGGGGTCGGGGCTGGTGGTGGCGGCGGAGGTTGGGTGTAACTTTGGCTGTAACTGCCGTAACTTCCGTAGTTGTAGCTGGGAGCAGTGTAGCCCCCTTGGCTGTAGCTGGCAGGGGGGCTGTAGGGCTGGCTGTAGCTTTGCTGTGGACGACAGACGACAAAGTCACAGTTGGTTCTGAGACACAGGCTGTCTAAATCCCATTGAGTAGGTCCCTCAAATGCCTAATTCTGCAAGCTGAAGCCTATCTGGCTTGAAGGCACAATTTGCAAGAACAAGATCGTTCTCTGCTCACCTGACACCCGTTTTTTGCCTAAGGGAACAGTCCAAAAGCTGCGTTTTCGTCTAGTGGTTAAGGCACCAGGCTAGAAATAGAGGGACGGTGAATTCTAGTCCCTGCTTTAGGAATGAAAGCTGGCTGGGTGACTTTGGGCAATTGCCAGGAGAGACTGGGAGTTCTAGTCCTACCTTAGGCATGGAAGCCAGGTAAGTGATTTAGGGTCAGCTATTCTGTCTCAGCTGTCCCACCTCACAGGGTTGTTGTCGTGGGAAAAATAGGAGGAAGAAGATGTGTTGGATACATTCGCAGCCTTGAGTACCGTGTTTTTCGGACTATAAGACGCACCTTAATTTAGAAGAGGAAAACAAACAAACAAAACTTTTTGGCCTCCGCGCGCCCCATTTTCAGACTTTTTGGGGCCCATTTTCGAGGCTTTTTTTGGCCTGTTTCTCCCAAAAAATGGGCCCAAAAAAGCCCAAAAAACAGCCAAAAAAACGGGCAGAAAAAAACAGGCCGAAGAAAGGGGGGGCAGAGGAAAAAAAAAAAAAAAAAAAACAGCCAACGGGTGGGCAGGGCTTCTGCAATATTCAGTCTATAAGACGCACCCTCATTTGGGAGACAAAAAAGTGCATCTTATAGTCCGAAAAATACGGTCGTTTGTAAAAACAATAAAGGCGGGATATACATAAATTTGTAACGTATCGAAATGCCAAGGGCTAATGGAGCACTAGGCCTTTAAAAGTATCCTACTGTAGGTATCAAGGATGCCAAATATGATGCTCACCTGTCTGGCTATTCCTCAACTTTCCTTATCTCCCCCCACCCCCAAGCCATGCCACTGGATGCTTTCTCAGCTGCCCTGATTCATCCCTCAATTATCCCCCCCCTCCTCCGCTTGGAAGGGGTTTCAGCATTTCACAAAACAGGATCTCGAGCCGAACCCCGAGTGCACCATCCTACCTGTGGTCCCTGACTGTACGACACCGGAGGGGGGTTGGTGGCAGGGCCCAGGGCCGGCGGAGGAGGAGCAGGAGCAGGAGCAGGAGCCATGCTACTGCTCTTGTAAGGATTCTGGTCACGTGCCGGGCTGTAGCTGCTCTGCTGTTGGTTGTTCTGGTTGTAGCTGCCTCGGCTGTTGTTATTGTTGTCTCGGTTTCCGCTCCCCCAACGGTTTTGGTTGTAGCTGCCTCGGTTGAAGCCTGAATGGGAAAACCAGAGTGATGAGCTTCCGCTAGTCTAGCGGTTAAGGTGCTGGGCTGGAAAGCAGGACAAGGTCAGTTGTAGCCCCCACCTTTGCCATGAAAGCCGCTGGGTGAGTTTGGGCCAATCATCAGGAGACGGTGAGTTCTAGACCCGCCTTAGCATGAAACCAATTGGGTGAGTTTGGGCCAATCATCAGGAGACGGTGAGTTCTAGTCCCGCCTTAGGCATGAAAACCTGGGTGTCTCTGGGCCAATCACAGGGGGCAGTGAGTTCTAGTCAAGCTACATTGAAATATTGTGTGGATGGAGAGGCCATCAGAACTTTGAAACACCACATGTGAGTCCCAGGTAGGTCTAATGGAACGTCCAATGGTTGCTAAGTGACCAGTCATAAGTCAAGGACATAGAATTGAGGCAACCAACCTTCTCATCTCACCGAGGCATGCATGCATGCATTCATGCATTCATGCATTCATTCATTTTTTATTTATTTATTTATTTATTACATGTATTTATATGCCGCCATTCTCCCGAAGGACTCAGGGCAGCGAACACAAGTTAAGAAACAAGTACAATAAAATCCCATTTTAAACCAAATAACTAATTAATAGTAAATAATAAAACCCGGAATCAGAGTCAGCCTTACCTCCACTTCCACTTCCACTGCTGCCGCCAACTCCAATTCCTCCGCCACCTCCACCACTGCCTCTGTAGCCGCCGCCGCCGCCGCCGCTGCCTCCTCCTCCTCCGCCGCCACTTCCTCCTCCTCCTCTGTTCTGGTAGCTGCCCCGATTGCCCACTGGCGGGCCTCGATTGTCAAAGCGCTGAAACCCTCCGCCGCCTCCTCGGCCACGGAAACCGCCGCCGCCCCCTCCGCCGCCCCAGCTGTCGAACCGCTTTTCGGGGGGCGGGCCGGCTTTCTTGCCTTCGTCGTTGTACTGCCTCACCAGCTTCTCCGCCTCCTCCCGCTGCAACTCAATGTAAACCACCGAGTCGAGAAAATCGCCGGATTCCGGCAGGGCAAAGTTGGCTGCCGGGAAAGTAAACCGAGATGCTCGTCAGTCAGCGCGAACCGGGGTGGGATGGGGACAGGCTACTGTTGCGAACCAGTAGTAAAGGTAAGTAGAACCCACCCCGGGTGGGACTAGGTGGGGTGCGAGTTCCAGGGAGTTGGGAGCAGCAGAAAAGAGAACGGGGGGGGGGAGTGGGGAAGAGGACAGAGGAACACACCTTAAAACCACAAGCAGGGAGGAGAGGGGGTTTCCTCTCTTTGTGACCAATGGCAAGTAGGGAGCCTTATCCTGGTTTCAAGCAGGCGGCTTTATAAACAGTCCTCGACTTACGTCCATTCATTTAGCAACTGTCCAAAGTTACAACGGCGTTCAAAACTGCGACTCACAACTCTCGCACTTATATCCATCTCAGCAGCATCCCCACTGTCACGTAATCAACATCCAGATGCTTAGCAACCCGGCAGATATTTAGGATTTTATGAACTGCTGGTTGTGACCTTCCAAGCTGGCTTCCGACAAACAAAGTCAACAGGGGAGGCTGGATTCACTTAATGACCACATGATTCGTTGAAGCCGAAAGTTTTTTGCTGCTGTTGTTTTTTTCCCCTAGAGAAAGCCTCTGCTACAGCTTCCCAGCAGTCAGTTTTAAGGGTGAGACTTTCAAACTTTTAAAAGAGGTTAAGGCATCAGGCTAGAAAGCAGGAGACCATGAGTTCAAGTCCAGCCTTAACATGAAAGCCAGCTGAGTGGCTTTAGGCCAATCACCAGGAGATGCTGAATTCTAGTCCCGCCTTAGCCATGAAAGCTGGCTGGGTCACTCTTGGCCAATCACCAAGAGATGATAAATTCTAATCCCGCCTTAGGCATGAAAGGCAGCTGGGTGGCTTTGGGCCAATCACCAGGAGACGCTGAATTCTAGTCCCACCTTAGTGGCTGGGTAACTTTGGGCCAGTCCCTCTCTCTAAGCCCAACTCCCCTCACAGGGTTGTTGTTAATGGGGAAAATAACAGGAGGAAGGTGTGTTGGATATGTTCGTTGCCTTATTTATAAAAACAACAAAGGGAGGATTCAAAGAAATAAATAAAATAAAAACAAACCAAGACAAGTGCAGACGTAAAGCATCAGAGGTATGGGAATGGGCAGGAGCTTAAGATATTGCAGAGAAAAGAGGAGGAAAACAAAGAGATCTAGAAACATCTGAAGGATCCCTTTTAAAATCCTTGAACTACACCCCCACAGTCAGGGTGGATTTTCTCCTTCTCATATGTGCCATGAATGAGAGTGGTGCGGTGGCCTAGAGGTGGAGCTCTCACCTCACAATCAGGAGGCTATGAGTTCGATCCTAGGTAGAGGCAGGTATTTCTCTCTCTGGGCACAATTTATTTATTTATTCAATTTATATGCCGCCCCTCTCCGAAGACCCAGGGCGGCACAATGAGAATATATCTGCTGAACAAAACTCTGCATTGGCAACAGGAAGGGCATCTGGCCATTAAAACACTGCTAACTCCATTCAGTTGCCCAGACTCCACCACGCAGGGGATTATGGGGTCGTTAAATGAAGATGATATATGCTATGAATGCGAGGTTTGGTTTTCCTCTTTCCGCCATCTTACCTTTCATTTCTAACACTGCGTGATCGGGCACGTCCTTCCCCTCTTCATCCGTGCGCTTTATTGTCCGATCTTTTAAATCATCGTCCGTGGGACAAATTACAATGGCTTTGCGTTGAAAACCTTCAAAAGGTCGCATTTTTCGTCTCTGAGCTGATCCATAAACATTTGTCTAGCAATGATAATAAAGAAGTAGGTGGTTTTTTTTAAAAAAAAAATAATAATAAAAAAAGACCTCGTTATTTAGCACTTTAAGGCTCCTGACGCCCCACAAATGGAAGAAGGACTTCAAAGAGAGAAACTCTGGCTTCCTGTCCCCTCCCCACTTCCTCCCTCCCCATGGATAGAAACGGATGAAAGTCATCCCTGCCAACAAAGCAACCTTGAAGAGATCCTCTCGTTTTTTAAAAGATGAAAAACAGCAAGAGATGACAATAATGTCCCTTTTTGCAATTCAAATGAAAACCCCCTCGAAGGCCAGGTTAATAGGACAGCGGTGGCTTTGCTCAGGAAAAAAAGTGCATTTTGCCTTAGGAGGTGGAAATGAAGCAACAGGGAATCCAGAACGGATTCATTGAAATGCACTGTTTGCGTATTAGAGCCATCCAAGCACTAGAGTTAACTAGCAGGAGGTTTAAAAAGATGTCGTCTTAAAAGAATATCTCTGGGCTTTTGAGTGGAGGAAAGAGGCAGGGAGGCTGCAACGGTCTGAATCGGGGGCAGCCAAACTTGACAACTTCTAAGACTTGTGGACTTCAACTCCCAGAATTCTCCAGGGCAGCATGTGCCCACGGGTCTTAAAAGTTGCCAAGGTTGGACAAGCCCTGATCGGAATGCATGATGTTTGAAAGGCATTCGCCTTCAGAAAGATTTATTAGACTCAAGAAGCCGAAAAAAGCTGGCTCAGTTAGGCCTTATCTATAGTTTGAAAAGCCAGGATTGCTGGTTTGCTTTGATTCTGGAATTAAAGCTTGCACAATGGCAGTCACCTATGGGTGGGTTGAGCGGCTATATAAATTTAATAAATATACATAATAACAGTAAAAATAATAAACAATAAATTTAATCAATACATAATAGTAAAAATGAAAGATAATAAATAAAAATGGGGTGGGGGGGACAGAGCCCATTTCCACCTACTCTGGCTGGCACATCTGGCCAAAGACCCCTCCCAATTGACCCCCATGAAGAAAAAGGAGGGGCCTCATACCTGATCCAGGATATAATTCCGCTTCTTCCGGGCTGCAATCTGGATTAGGCGGTTCAGGCACTGTGTCGCTTGCTGGATGAGAACGTCCCAGCGGCCAGCGTAATTGCGCTGCCGTCGGAGTCCCATTACCTGAGAAAAGACAGGGTGGTGAGGACAGCTGGAGGGGTGGGAGGGAGAGGCCACAGCAAGAGCGCCCCCTATACCTGGCCTGAAGTAGCTCTTGCTCCTGGCATTGGGTCTGAAGGGTGTGTGTGTGTGTGTGTCCCAGGGAGATTCACACAGGAGGCTACTACCAGAATAATATACACTTAGGACTGTAATTGAGCCTGGAATTACAGTTGTAAGTCATTGTGGTTGTAAATTGAAGCATCACACCTGATTTTTCAACATTTTTTTTTTTTTGCAGATTAAGTTGTTATTTAGCAACATTAAGGAAATGCTGATAATGTGTTTGATAGCACCTTTTCCAATTACCAAATTGTTATTAAGAGGCATCAACTGAAGCTCGTGAAGGCGGATGGTGCCTTTTAATAAAATGTGTTCATCGGAAAAGATGCTTTCGAATATTGGACGACCAGAGAACAACATGACTTTTCTAGAAGTATATGGCAAGGATGTCCAACCTTGGCAACTTTAAAACATGGCTGGCTGGGGAATTCTGGGAGTTGAAGTCCACAGGTCTTAAAGATGCCAAGGTTGGACACCCCTGGTATAAGGGAGTCCTGTTTCAGCAGGCGGCTGGACTAGAAGACCTCCAAGGTCCCTTCCCACTCTGTTATTCTGTATCCTCCTATAAAGCTTGAAACTGGAAGCTACTTGCATCAGAATCCCTGCAAGGCAGCAATTTCCCAGTCAATTCTCAAGTAGGACACTGCAGTCTTCTCCCACCTGCCACTTTGCAGATATTTTGGGACTGCAGCCCCCTGGAGTCCATATTAATTAAGGGCTGAACAGAAATCCTGGGAACTGCAATCCACCCACTTGGAGGGTGGCAACGTGAAAAGCTGGTCGTGACCCAGACTTTGAGCACTGTTGTATAAACAGGCCTGGTGATTAAAAGAAGGAAAAAAAAAGCTAATCTGTAATACACAGAGTCCCTCTCTCTCTCACATACACACACACACACACACGGAGGGATGTAAATGGAACAATGGGGAGAACTGGGAATTTTACATTATTCTAGAACAGGGGTGTCAAACTCGATTTCATCGAGGGCGGCATCAGGGTTGTTTTACTTGGAGGGGGGGCCAAGGGGCGTGGCCAACTCAACATCACTCGTGTCGGGGGTGCCTGTGGTGGCCCAAGCACTCTACTAGCAAAAACGGGCTCCCGAGCTCTGCTTTCGGCTGCGACGGCTTCCTGCAACCCTCTGCCAGTGAAAACAGAAGTCAGGAGGGCTGCCCGCGGCCTTCCCAAGCTCCGTTTTTGCTGGCAGAAGTACAGCGGGTCGGTCCTTTGCTGCTTCCCCGCGGGCCACATCAAAGCACCCCGCAGGCCAGATCCGCCCCCCGGGCCTTGAGTTTGACACCCCTGTTCTAGAAAGATAATTTGGGATCGCATGGACCCAAGTACCATGCAATGAGCTTCCGCCAGCTCCTGCCAACCTAGCAGTTCGAAAGCGTGCAAATGCACGTAGATAAATAGGTACCACTTTGGTGGGAGGGTAACAACACCCCACGACCTCATACTGGCCATCTGACTGCGGAAATGTCTTTGGAGAGCATTGGTTCAAAGGCCTTGAAATGGAAATGAGTACCGCCCCCTAAAGTCGGCAACGACTAATGGAATAAGATCCGCAGGGACTCCTTTACCTTTATAGGAAATCCACCGGCTATGAAAGAGAAGCTTTTCTGCAAGGGACTGGCCAGAAAAATCATTTTGAAAAAGACAGTGAGCTGTTCTAAGTTTGACAGGCAAGGAAGCGACAGGGGCCCACCACGAATGAGGAAGCAGACAGGAGAAACCGGCGTTCTCGGCCTCCAAAGCTTACCCTCATTTTGTCCATAATGGCGTTTGTTCCCAAAATATTATACTTCTTGGCTGGATTGGCTGCGGCATGCTTAATGGCCCACGTCGTCTTCCCAGCAGCAGGCAACCCCACCATCATCAAGATCTGAAAACACAGGGGTGTGGTTTTAACATCTGCTGCAGGCCGGTAACGCAACCACCAAGCCAGTTTCCCAAAGCAAATCTCTCCTTTACAAATCAAGCGAGAAAAATAGTAGCTTTCCTCCGTTGATTGTCTAAGGACAATCCATTCCAGAAACAGAGATTATAGGCATCTCCTAGCCTCAGAGGCATGGAAAAACCAACATTTTTAACCCTTACGTTTTCTTTTAATAGATACAGGGAGTCCTCGACTTACAACAGTTCGTTTAGTGACCGTTCAAAGTTACGGTGGGATTGAAAAAAAACATTGACTTATGACTTGTTTTTCACGCTTACGACCGTTATGACCAGCATCAATTTTGACGGGATCAAAATTCAGACGCTTGGCAACGGACTCCTGTTTACAACGGCTGCAGTGTCCCCGGGGGTCACGTCATCCCCTTCAGCGACTTTCTGGCAGGCAAAGTCAACAGGGAAGCCAGATCCGTTTAACAACCGTGGTGATTAACTTAACGACTTCAGGGATTCACTTCACAACCAAGGAGTGGCAAGAAAGGGTCGTAAAACGGGGCAAAATTCACCGAACAGCTGTTTAGCCGCAGAAATGTTGGACTCAATTGCGGTCCTAAGTCGAGGACTACCCTGCATAGTTTTATCGGCCTAACATCCAGTCGGCCTAACAACCATCTTAGTCGCTGTATTTGGATCTGTGAGGCTCTGATTGGCCCTTTTCACTGCCGACAAATTTGGGAGTGATTTTTTTGTAAGCAGTTCAAGGCATGGCCTTAAACCCAGTTGATACAATGCTATTTCAGAGGAGGGGGAAAACCTGCTCTTGTCTGAGTCCTGGTCCAGTCAACCACCAACTGGCAAAGGACTCTGGCAACTGAACTCCAGAGCCTGCCATGGCTGCATTTTGGGGGGTGGGGGGGGCACCTACTTCACAATCCCTTTTGTTCTTTGGTCCAATTGTGCCCCGAACTCGCTCGGACAGGGGGAGGTGCTGAATGAAGGTGAATCCCGGTGGAGCCGGAAAGAAGGTGTCTTCCCTTTGGCCGAAGTTGAACTCGATGGCACAGTTCTTCGCCAGGACATGAGGGAACAGGGCCTGCCCTCCCAAATTCTCCTTCCGTAGTCGATAGGCCATCCCTAGCCACTTCCCGTTCTTCATGAAGGACATTTCAACGTCGTCGCCGCACTCGAAGTCCTGAGAAGAGGGAAGGAACTGTCAATCAATCTAGAAGCAGGAAATGGGAGGCCGGCGGAAGCTTCCGATCTTCCTTTTTCCCGCTTGGAGAAGGGAAGGTAAAGGAGACCCCCACCCCCACCCCCAGGTTTACTTCACTAGCCGTAGCCAACTTTCAGAGGTATTGCTCATCTCCTCTGGGCCACTGAGCCATTGAAGAGCTTTCTGCAGCCATGACATCACGCTGCAGCATAGAGCATGCAGCGAAACCCAGAGCAGTTACCTTACCGCCAAAATGGTACCTATTTATCTACTCGCATTTGCGTTCTTTCGAACTGCTGTGTGGGCAGGAGCCGGAGCAAGTAGCGGGAGCTCACCCCGTCACACAGCAGCACTCGGGTCTCGAACCTGGGCTGCCGGCTTTTCAGCGGACAAGGTCCAGCGTCTTAACTGCTGAGCCATTGTGGCGCCTGAGGGGGGGTAAGGTTCTGAAACACCACAGGCTGCACTCACCACGAGACAAGTGATGACGTCGTTCTCGGAAAAGGTCTCACCATAATTTTCAAACTTGCTACTAGTGGATTTCTTCCCGGTGCCTCCGTAGCCATAGGAGAAAGCCTCTTCACCTAACGGGATTGATAATTGATCTGAGCAGATGTGCCATGGGAGATCAGGTGGCATTAGTGGGGCAGAGCACTTTTAATATCCCCAGGGTGATTTTACTTAAGCAGGGAAGTTGCCTAATTCAAAAGTTCCTGTTTAAACTAAAGATACTTAAAAGTAAAGAGAGCCCAGCATAGCATGAAAGCTGGCTGGGTGACTGGGTAAATCACCAGAGGACAATGAATTCTAGTCCCACCTTAGGCCAGCTGAGCTGGGTGACTCTGGGACAATCACCAGAAAGCAGAACGTTCTAGTCCCACGTTAAGTATGAAAGCCAGCTAGGTGACTCTGAGACAATCACCAGGAAGCTGTGAATTCTAGTTCCACCTTAGGCATGAAAGCCAGCTAGGTGACTCTTGGCCAATCGCCAGGAGATTGTGAATTTTAGTCCTGGTTTAGGCATGAAAGCTGGCTGGGAAACTATGAGCCAGTCTTTCTCTCTCGGCCCAACGGATCTCACAGGGTTGTTGCTGTGCGGCAAATGGGGAGGGGGGGGGAGAACCATATTAGATATATTCGCCAACTTGAGTTGTTTATAAAAATAATACAGGTGGAATGCAAAATAAATAAATGAAATGTACCCTGAGCTCTCCCTAGATCCAGCAATTAAAACTACTCACCTAACTGAGTGCTACATGAATCCAGTGACCAGCCAATACGCACTACGTGAGGATCTGGTTCGGTGGGAGGAAGGTGTTTGACGGAGATCTCTTCGTTGATCTGAAGACAAAAAGAAAGCGTTGTTTATTAGATGGCCAACATTTATTACAAGAACAAGGGCTGATAAAATAAATTATTCAAGAACAATTATTACCTTCTTCATTAATTCCTAGGTATTTAAAAGTTTTATGTTCAAGAGAAATTTCTAAAATACTGGACATATTTTTTTTCCCTCCATATGACAGGGTATGAATTCAAGCTATTCTAGATTTCTTAAAAAAGCTGGCTGTTAAGCCAAAACCTCAAGTGAATTCTTTTTTAATTTGATGGGCTATGTTTTTCATTAGCAAGGGTTATAATTATATCAGCGAATAAATGTAACGGATAACCTTTGCTCTGCCATAATGCAACCGCTAACATTACAATAAACTTAATAATAAAATGCTTTATTGCTTCATTAATAATAAAATGAAGCAATAAAGAGGAAAAGGGATATCCCTGTTTGTTGTTATGAGAAACTGAGTCACAATCCTTGGTTCTTACTTGCATTCTTACGGCCTGGTAAATAAAGGCAGGTGGCTAACGGGAGTGTGGAACTATAAGCAAATTTCATGTAAACGAGCAAAACATTTGACTACAGGCTGAATTCCAAGAAATGGGAATTTTAACTGCCCCTGAGCAAATGTAAAGCCTCAGGATATAACTGGTTTTGTCCCTCCCAGGAAATACCAAGAATTAAGGAATAATTTATGCAACTCCCACAGCTACCCCATAACCTCCCTCTATCCTCTGTCCCCAGTTACCAGCTCCCAAGTCTCCCTTTATATAACGTAGCCATGTTAGCAATGCTCCTTTTCATATAATCTCTGCCACCTCTGCAGTGAGAATGCACATTCCCTCACCTTCATCTCATAGCACACCCTTCCACGCCGCACCCCATACGTCGCTCGTGCGCCTGACCAGAGGAAAGCAAATCCTTCGATGGTCAGAGGGTATCCGCTATATCGATCGCGGGCAACTTTGAAATGGAGATCACAATTATCTGAAGAGGAAAGCAAACATCGTCCTCAATGAAGACCAAAGGAGACAGATACCAGAGGCACCAGTGGGCTAAAACCCAGTACAGATCACAGCAACATATTAAAGTGAGGCTTTCTTTGAAGGAAAATGACTCTCCTGATGTTAAGCTAGGATAATATGCAAGAAGAATTAGCTAACTCCTCGTTTCTCGTATCAAAATTGGTGCATGTATATGGTTGTATTAAAGCAGCCAGGACTGAATTGGAATAGGAATGGAGTAGTCTTACTGGGAGAAAAAAAATCACTTCTGCTTTGCAAGTGGAAAAAAAAACTCCAACCACGCCTCTATTCAATAATTTCCTTGCCAAAATAGGCTGTCTTAGTGTGAGATTAAGATGTCTCGTGACTCAGGACTATTAAATCAATCCACTTAGGGGGCTTGTAGTTTTGAAGAGAGAAATCAATGCCTTACAACTCTCCAATATCTAAGGCACTTACTTCACCATTTAAATCCTTTTCCGACCAACCCTAAACACCTACAAGCACAAACCCAAAAGAAGGTTGTTGTTTTAACCATTCAGTTGTATCTGACTCTTGGTGGCTTTATAGGCAAGTGCTCTCCATGCCACCCTGTCAATCACAGCTTCTTTCAGTTGTTGGATGTTCAACTTTGCATCAGATATGAGGCTTTCGAGCCAGCGTATTCTTTGCTTGCCCCCTCTTCTTCTTCCACTTCCCCCTCTCCTTCCCTGCCTAGCATCGTTGCCTTCTCCAATGAATTTGCACCAGAAAGAATAAAAACATTTCAACTTCCACCTATTCGAGGGTTTGCCCACTCATGACCCAAACGAAAAAAACTGCAAAAAGCTGAATTTAAGCCTTCCTGTTAGTAGAGTCAGAGCTGCAATTTCTCCTCCTGCAGGGAACCAATAAACTAAAGGACTTTTCCTCAACCCCTTTCCCTGAATTTCAAATATCGTGACCCAAGCATCCCTCTGACTCAGCTGCTGTCATCTTATTGCAACTCAAGAGATGTGAGATGATTGAAGGACACAGGAACAGAGCCGAAGGGGGAAAATTCTGCTATGTGTTGACTCTGCAAATGAGCAAGATCAGGCGAGAGGGAATCTGTCTTGGGGGCAAAATAATGTTTATTTATTTTCCATGTTTCTGAACTGCCCTTCTCCCTCAAAGAGGAACGCCAGGCGGCTTACAGTAAATGTAAAAAAATATAAAGTTTCAACAGATTAAACAGATTAACAGAGTTGGAAAGGATCTTATAGGTCATCTAGTCCAACCCCCCGTTCAAGCAGGAGACCCTACACCATTTCTGATGTCAGCCCAATCCCTTCTTGAAAACCTCCAGTGATGAAGCTCCCACGACTTCTGAAGGCAACTTCTGTTCCATGGGTTGATTGCTCTCACTGTCAGAAAATTGTTCCTCATTTCTAGGTTGAATCTCTCCTTGGTCAGTTTCCATCCATTATTCCTTGTCTGACTTTGGGAAATAGCTTGACCCCCTTCCTCCTCTCTGTGGCAGCCCCTCAAATATTGAAGACTGCTCTCCTGTCTCCCCTGGTCCTTCTCTTCACTAGACCAGCCATGCCCAGTTCCTGCAACCGTTCATCGTATGTTTTAGCCTCCAGTCCCCTAATCATCCTGGTTGCTCTTCTCTGCACTCTTTCTAGAATCTTCTCAACATCTTTTTTATAGCGTGGTGACCAAAACTGGATACAGTATTCTAGGTGTGGTCTTACTAAGGCTTTATAGAGTGGTATTAGAACCTCACTTGATCTTGATTGTATCCCTCTGTTCATGCAATTTAGGATTGCATTGGCTTTTTTGGCTGCTGCTGCACACTCTTGGCTCATATTTAACTAGTTGTTCACTAAGATATATAGAGAAGTTAAAAACATGCCGCAATCTCCGTAACTCACATGTATCGATGGCCACCAGGGAGTCATCAAAATCGTCCTCATCATCTTCTGCAGGCGGCTGAGGAGATCGACCCCTGGAAGAGAGGCAGCAAATGGAGCTTCCATAAACCCCCTTGAGGCAAACTGAGAGATGTGGCCTGCAAGGCAGGCTGAGAGAGGAAACACAGGGCCTACTTCCAGGAAACCAATCCTGCCCTTGTTACCGTGTTGATTAAACTGGGAACACTTTGGGAGCTCCTATCCAAGTCAAAAATGGGTTTCCCGTTACTTCTGCCCGTGATTCAGAGATAGGAAATCTTCATTTTTCCAGTAATTGTCTGGACTACAACTCCTAACATCCCTAGGAAACACGGCCAAAAGGGAGGGATGCTGGGTGTTGTAGTTCGGGAACACCATGAAGCTTTCATTTGGTGAGATGGGCGAGATAAGATAGCTGGATGGATGGATAGGCGGACAGATACATACATACATGCATAGCAGACCTAAGATTTATATACTGCTTCACAGTGCTTTTACAGCCCTCTCTAAGCAGTTTATAGAGTCAGCATCTTGCTCCCAACAATTTGGCTCCTCGTTTTGACGACCTCGTAAGGATGGAAGGCTGAGTCAATCTGGAGCCCGTTAGGATTGAATTCCAGGCTACGGGCAGTTAGCCTGCAATGCTGCATTCTAACCACTGTGCCACCACGGCTCCTTCATACACACACACACACACAGCAAAAAATGCAGATGAGAATCTGCATTTACAAAGATGTTATAAAACCAGTGTTCATTTCAACCGAATATATATGTTACTTTAAAGCTTAAGGCTAAGAATCAGGTAAGAAGCAGCCACTCTTCCCACCCAATCTTTCATCTGATCACGCTTACAATCTTTGCAACTTAGTAAAATCAAGCACCATTGCCAAATAGATGAAGAGAATAAAATGCCTTTGCCAAAATCCCAGATGCTTCCAAAACAGATCCTGCCCTCAAGGACACCTCTGGGCTCGGTTCCTTTCCGGAGCAGTTTTGGAAAAGATAAAAAACAAGCTAGATGAACGAGGTAAGCGCCCCGAATCCTTCTCTGAACGTACCTTTTATCCTCACGATATTCATAATATCCGCGTCCCCTGGACTCTTCAAATGTCCTCTTATGCCCTTGCTGTGGCGGCTGCTGCTGCTGCTGCTGCTGCCAAGACTGATATGAGTCTGAGGTGTTATACCCGGAAGAGGGCGCATTGTAAGAGGAAGCTGAGGCATTGTAGCCAGAAACGGAAGAACTGTAGTTAGAGGGGGGTGCGTTGTAACCAGATGCCGATATGTTGTGGCTGGGAGTGGCCTCCTCTTCCTTTATCTCTGTCTTCATTTCTGAATTTTAAAGACAACATGCACATTTCAGCGGGCGAGGAAATCCGTGTGAAAACGAAACCACCACTGCTGTTTATTCTGAAAAAGCCAGCAACCCTCGCCCTAACCGCCAGAGAAAGCTCCCTTTTCAATTTCGCTACAAAACAACTTGGCTCTGAGCCAGCCAACGGTTAAGAACCAGGGAAGAGATGATCAGCAATAAAACTGGTGAGGAAATTACCATCGGATTGATGTGCCAGAACCAAGAGTATCTATTTAAACCCCCCCCACACACACAATTTTCCTTGCTTCTGCTCTTAAGATCTGCGGATTCTATTATTAGAATGACAACGAAGATAGGATCAAGATAACAAAGAGAAGGATATTCAGGCAGAGAATTCTAAGGGGAACAAGGTAATATTCAATTAGGGCAGTGATCCCAAGCGGAGCTGAAAGAAAACAACATTTTTTCACCGCTGTTGTTAATGTCAAACGGTCACTAAATGAACTGTTGTAAGTTGAAGACTACCTGTACTACATTTTGGTACATTTGTCCAGTAAAAAAACTCTCTCTGCATCCCCTACCTCCAAAGTTTATTTTATAGCAAAAAGCAACTGAGGAATTCTAATAGTGCTACTTCAAAACTTCCTACCCGACCACTGGAAATTCTCTCGAGTCAACAAAATAACGAAGATACCCCCCACCCCCCGGCAACACTTTTGTTTACCTGATCGATCTTGGTTTACAGGCCCCCGCTCGTAACCCAATTCGTTCTCCTGTTTAATATTGAAATGCTCAAAAGACTGATATCCTTGCCGGTTGTCTTGACGAGTGTTGTCACGGATGCCATCTTGAAAACAGGAATCAAAAGGAAGTAAATTAGCGCCACTGTCTCATGCTACTTTGGGGGAAAGAAAAAAAAGAAACCAATGTTCCCATTTTTCTTTCACCGTCAGCAAGCGGTTTAGGCTAAATGGAGTGAGTGGCAATCCCAGCCAGCCGACCCACCCTTACCTGGATGGCTGCGGAAACCTCAGCGCAATTAAGTGGCTGAATCTTTTTCCGGAGTACCGCAATTCAAGATGCAGATGGGGAAGAGAATCGGCGGGGTTTCGGGTGAGAATGCCCCATCCTGAAAACCAGCTTGTACAGTATTGTGTGGCAAACTGAAATGCCAGGGAGGAGGTAATTCTGTGCTGTTTTTCTCTGAATACGACTCCCACCCCCAGGGGAGGATGGAAATAGTGCTGCTAAGGAGGTGGTTTGCTCCTTGATTACGGCGAGGCTGAATGCCAAGGCTACACAACACAGGAAACCAGAGGGTGCAACATGTCCTCCGCATCACACCAAAAATTGTGCTTGATGTAGAAACCCCCCCTCCCCCCCATATTTTAAGCTCAAAGCAAGTCACAGGGGAAAATCTCCCCTCTTAGATTAGGTATGCTTATCTATCTTGTTTGATATTAGCTAGAATATTATGTCTTATTGTGATATCTGTATGTTAACCAAAGAAATAATAGACTTGGAAGGAACCTTGGAGGTCTTCTAGTCCACCCCTCTGCTCAAACAGGAGACCCTACACTATTCCAGACAAGTAGCTGTCTAATCTCTTTTTAAACACCTCCAGTTTTGGAGGACTCACAACTTCTGGAGGCAAGTCATTCCACTGATTAATTGTTCTAACTTTCAGGAAATCTCTCTTTAATTCTCCTTGATTAATTCCCATCCATTGCTTCTTGTCCTGCCTTCAGGTGCTTTGGAGAATAGGCTGACCCCTTCTTTTTGTGGCAACCCCTCCAATAATTGGAACACTGCTACCATGCCACCCCTAGTCCTTTCTTTTCACTAGACTAGCCAAATCCAATCAGCCAGTTCAGATATTTATTTTATTTAGCGTATGGCATAAGATACATGGACAGCAGCAGTAAAAATGCACGGAAAGAACGCACGACAATATGATACACCCAAGATGGAGATGTGTGGTCAATTTCGTGAGGTAGAAGAGATTCAGAGGACAATTCAGAATAAATAGGCAATCCATTGCTAAAATGGCTGGAATTCTAGGTAGTTATCAGTTGCAGTTTTTACACCTTCTGGGCATGCTAGGAGCTGCCTGGAGATCCTATGAGTCCCTTTCCAAGAAGCAGCTGTGCTGAAGCTTCCCTTAAGGCAAGAGGATCGCAGGCGTCGCCTGGCAACAAAGGGCGGCATCGGAGAAAACAAATGCCCAGATGCCATAAAAATAAACAGGGCACTTTCGGAGCCAAGAAAAGTCCCGGTAAAGAGCAGCCTGGATCGCCCACAGGCCTCCTGGGTTGGGAAGCCTCCTATAACGGGATGTCTCTATGGAGATTCTCAGTCTTCCAGGTTATGTTTTTCCAAAGGTGCTTCTTTCTTTCTTCCTTCCTTTCTTTCTTTCTTTCTCTCCCTTCTTTCTTCCTTCCTTTTTCTTTCTTTCTTTTCTCTCTCCCTCCCTTCTTTCTTTTTCTTTCTTTCTTTCCTCTCTCTCTCTCCCTCCCTTCCTTTTTCTCTTTCTTTTTTTTTCTTTCTCCAAAAGGCAACTGGGCTGTGTTTTTCCTCGAAGACGTTTCCCTTCTCCTCCTCCAAGAAGCTTCCTCGGCTCTTCAGTTCAATGGAAGGTTCTTGGATGAGGGAAAACGAAGCCGAGCTGTCTTTTTTGGGGAGGTAGTGGAGGGAAAGCACTTTCGGTGCTCTTAAGGGAGAAGCATCCACGGGTTTCGTGGGAGGGCCGAAGGAAGGAGAAAGCGATCCCGGACAGCCGCCTCCTCCGCGGACCCCGCCGCCCGGATCCCACCCGGAGGAGGACGCCGCCCCTCCGGCAGGCTCGGCCGGAAACGGATCCTCCCCGAAAGGGCCGGGGCTGCTCCGCTTGCCGGCCCACGATCCCAGCCCCAACCTCCTCGAGACCCATGTTCCACGGCTATAAAGGTCCCCCCCCCGAGGACCCATGCTCCGCGGCGAGGGACTGCTGGCTGTGTGAGCCCATCCTTCCCGGCTTTAACGCTCCTTTGAGACCCATCCTCCCCAGCACCGCGGTCTCCTCACTGACCATGCTCCCCGGCCGTCACATCCCATCGCTCCCTCCCCCCCCTCAGGAGACCCATCCTCCTCACCTCGGGCTGTCTCCTCACAGAGCCCATGTTCCCCAGCGACGGGCTGTCGAGCCCATGCTCCCCGGCCACAGCGTCCCCAGAGGCCCGTTGTCCCCCCACCTCCCCCGCGAAGACCCATCCTCCCCAGCTCTCACGCCCCCCGAGACCCATCCTCCCCAGCAAGAGACGCCTCCCCACAGGCCCCATGTTCCCCAGCGAGGGGTTCCTTCGTACGACCCATGCTCCCCGGCGACCCATCCTCCCCAGCGAGGGAGTGTCTTCCCCACAGACCACGCTCCCCGACCCGGAGACCCATCCTCCCCGGCCAGCCGTGTGTACCCGCCCCCCCCTCACAGGCCCGGCCGCGGTCCCCTGCCTCGCAGGGCCCATGCTCCCCGGCCCGAGACCCATCCTCCCCAGCGAGGGCCGGCTTCCTTCTTCCCTCCGGGCTCGCTTACAGTGTCCGTCAGAGAGCGGCTCTCCGTCCGAGCCCGAGCCCGAACCCGAGCCCGACGCTGCTCGGGCCTGCTCGGCTTCTAGCGCCGCATGCAGCCTCCCGGCTAGCTCGGCCTTGAGCCCGCGGGTGTCGAGGCCGCGGCGGCCGAGCTCCTCCTTCAGCTCGCTGACGCGCAGCCTCCGCACATCCATGGCGCGCTCAATCCCGGCCGCAGGGTCGCCGTTGCCCGGCCATCGGGGCTCCGTTCCGGGCTCTGCTCAAAATGGCCGCTCTCCCTTAATCCCCGCCATGCAACGGGCTCTCCGGTTGGCCGACCCGGCGGTGGAAGAATGAGAGGCGGTCTCTGATTGGAGAAAGCGGCCCCTTGCCTTTTGCCCCCCTCCTCTCTCTCCCTCCGTCTCCCGCTCATTCCCTGCCTGTGAAAGGAGCTCGCGCATTGGGCGGAAATAAAGGTCAGTCTATAAAGGGCGTTCCCATTGGCTGAGAAGGGCTCGTTTCCTTCCCCGCCTTCACTTTCCCTGAAACTGGTCAGGGAAAGGAGAGAGGAAAAACAAGTGACTGACGAACCAGGGGGCTGGACTTATTTTCCTGAGGGCGAATCCCCGAGGCCTCTCCCTTCCTAACTTCTCATTGGCTGAAAGGCCGACTTGTTTTGTACTGTTATGTAGAGGCATTTCCTCCCCCCCACTCTTTTCTATTGGCTGAGCCTCCCTCCCTGGGGATGATGGGAGTTGAAGTTCAACACATCCGGAAAAACAACAAATTAGGAAAAAGTGAGACAAGGCCCAAACGAGAAGTGTTTCCCCCCCCCCAAACCTCTTTATATCTATATCTATATCCTCTATAAAGATATATATATATATATAAAGATATATAACGTTTAAACATTCTGTCCTAAAGTATATCCTACACACACGCTTATGTAATATTTTATAACCTGCATTTCTGTTTAATGGAGGTTAAGGTGAATTATGCAACTGGAAAAGCAATATTGCCTCCAAATCGAGCATAAGCTAGCCAAAATTTACTAAATACCTAGTAGAGTTTATTATCCCTACTGAACAAAATGGAATTTGAATATAGAGTAACTTTAGCTAGACGGGATTCAGATTCAGATATTGAAGTAAACCATGATTTAATAATAAATCACAGCTTGCTAGTTGACGTGCTTAGCAGAAGACATGATGATGATGATGATGATGATGATGATGATGATGATGATGATGATGATGATGCTAGTTCAGTGTTTCTCAAGCTTGGTAGCTTGAAGATGGGTGGACTTCAACTCCCAGAATTCCCCAGCCAGCAGTGCTGGCTGGGGGATTCTGGGAGTTGAAGTCCACTCATCTTCAAGCTTCCAAGATTGAGAAATACTGTGCTAGTTGATACATTACCTTGGGCGGGGCATGCCGTCTAGGAATTCTGGGAAGTATAGTTCCAACACATCTGGTGGTGTTAATTTGGGAAGACTGAATCTTAGAATATTTGTATCTCAACCTTAAGAGCTGTGAACTTCAACTCCCACAGCATCTGGCTGGGGAATTCTGGGAGTTGAAGTCCACACCTCTTAAAATTGCCAAGGTTGAGAAACACTGAATATGAGCATTTCTACACGGTTTATAACCACCAGAGGGTAGCATCGTAACAGCCAGACCAGCAACGAGATATTTCCAATCTGATTTTTTTTTGTCCTCTTCAGGCTAAAAAAACCTTTTTCAGGATAATTGGAGCGTTCCACAGCTCCTTATTTTGAGCTCAGGATTCAAAGAGCCAGCTTCTTGAAGAATCCTGTAATTCTGGGGAAATTGGAAAGAAACTACCAGCTGCAAGATGGATAGACTTTATTATAGCGGCAGTGAACGAGTCCTGACTTTCAATCCTGAAAGACCAGGTTGAGAACAAATCTTCTTGCAGAAAATCTATCTGTGTCAGGGGTCTCCAACTTTGGCCATTTTAAGACTTGTGGACTTCAACTCCCAGAATTTCTGCTTGCTGAGGAATTCTGGGAGTTGAAGTGTTGGAAGAAATGTCCATCTGGGTTTTTATTTATTTTTATCTATTTTATTTATTTATTGGTCAAGCATATATAACAGGTAAAAGTATGAACATAATTTGAATACATGAAAAGAGTAAGAGTAAAAAGGAATATTAGGACAGGGACGGTAGGCACGCTGGTGCACTTATGCGCGCCCCTTACAGACCTCTTAGGAATGGGGTGAGGTCAACAGTAGACAGTTTAAGGTTAAAGTTTTGGGGGTTTGGGGAAGAAACCACAGAGTCAGGTAGTACATTCCAGGCATTGACCACTCTGTTATTGAAGTCATATTTTCTGCAATCGAGTTTGCAGCGGTTTACCTTGAGTTTGTATCTATTATTTGCTTGTGTATTGTTGTCGTTGAAGCTGAAGTAGTCATTGACAGGTAAGGACATTGTGGCAGATAATTTTATGTACTATACTTAGGTCAGGCCAAAGTCGGCATACTTTTAAGTTGTCTTAGCCCAAAATTTGAAGTCTGGTAGCATAAGGTATTTTATTGCGGGTAGAGGAATGGAGAAAGACACTGGAAACATGGTGGCTGAGTGGAAAGATGGTTGTTAATGGTGGACATGACCACATGGTTTGAGGTCCTGGGCAAAAAAAGCAGCAGAGATGCTGAGAGTACCTGGGTTTTAGACCCTCTGTTGGGTTTTGAATTTGAGCTTGTGTTCTGATTGATTGTCAGACTCCCATGTGGCCACGCAGGGGTAATTTTGTAGGTTGTCTATGTCCCAGGCTTGGTTGAGCCTTGCTGGGTGATGATGTAATGAAAGGGGCTTTGGGCAATTCCTATTATGGTTCTGCTTGAAGGAGGTAGATCTTTGTTATGTAGAATAGACTGGCCCAGGCCTTAATGGCCCATTGACAAAGGGGGGGGGGGCTGAGTTCCTGCCTCCCTTTTAGGGGAAATATTCTGCCCTTTTTATATTTCCTAAAATATTTTCCTAGGAGAAGAGAGGGTGTTAACTTCCTACAGAAGTCTACAAGTTCTAATGTTGCCAAGTTTGGAAAATCCCTAATCTATGGGGGTCACTAAATGTTGACTCCAACTTGATGGCACCTTACCAACCAACCAACCAAAGTGAGTTAGGGCCCATTTCTTTTCCTTCAAGTGAAGGAGGATTGGAATTTGTGTACCATGTTCGTTTTGGTTCTTTTTTTTTTACCATGCCCAGCAGACACCCCTGACTGAAACAGAGATTTCTCTATCGTAAGTAGTAAATCCTGTTTCCCCATTTCCGTATTCTGTATGTATTCACTTTCTCTCTTTTTAGTTTTAAGTTTTGCACTCATCGTACTTTCCCACAGACAGTCCGAGAAACAGAAAAGCCCCCTTGAAGGACTCTGGGGCTGATGTTGATCGGAAAAGAGTTCAACCCCGATTAAGAGGAATGTGTTTGGGGAAGACGGGAGTCCCCCCCCCTCCCCTGCTAAATGGACTTCCTTGTTTCTCTGTGACTTGCTTGGCTTGATTCGACAATGGTTCTAGGAAGCAGTCTTGAATGTGCCTATTGATGGTGGTTTTGCCTGGCAAGGGGGGGGGAGGGAGAATAAAGTATTCCCCCCCCTCTTCCAATACACATTGCATTGGTTTTTAAGAATAAGCGAGGCTTCCCAGTTCAAGCTACCAACGGAAATACTGAGACCCTAGAACAGAGGTCTTCAAACTTGGGAGCGTTAAGACTTGTGGACTTCAACTCCCAGAATTCTCCAGTTGGATAAGAAAGCCAGAATTTTGTTCCCCCCCAATTGCTCATAAAGCAAAGGGAAAGATAAAAGGGTTTCCTGCCCGAGCAAGGTGGCTGGACTAGATGACCTCCAAGGTCCCTTCCAACTCTCTTATGTCTTCACTGCCCCAGTATCCTCACAGTCATGTGATCAAAATGGAGTTGTTTGGCAATTGTAAGCCGCCCTGAGTCTCCGGAGAAGGGCGGCATATAAATCAAATTAAATAAATAAATAAATAAAAAATAAAAATCGGTGATCGCCATGTACAACATTCCCAGCTGGCTTCCGATTTGCTTAATGATTCACTTAACTGCAGTGACTCGCTTAACAACTATGGGGGAAAAAAAGGTTGTAAAATTAGACATGACTCATTTAACAAACTCTCTTGCTTGGGAAATTTCTGGTTCCGATTGTGGACATAAACCGAGGACTACCCGTTTCATGTTTCAAGCAGAGATGGGCTTCAGCAGGTTCTGACCAGTTCTGGAGAACCGGTTGCGGAAATTCTGAGTAGTATGGAGAACCGGTAAATACCACCTCTGACTGGCCCTCGCCACCATCTATTCTCTGCCTCCCGAGTCCCAGCTGATCGGGAGGAAATCCAGCAGGTTCTGACCGGTTTTGGAGAACCGGTAGCTGAAATTTTGAGCAGTTCGGAGAACTGGCAAATACCACCTCTGGCTGGCTCCAGAGTGGGGAGGGAATGGGGATTTTGCAGTATCCTTCCCCCCAGAGTAGGGAGGGAATGGGGATTTTGCAGTATCCTTCCCCTGGAGTTGGGTGGGAATGGAGATTTTACTGTATTCTTCCCCTGCCACGCCCACCAAGCCACACCCACAGAACCAGTAGTAAAAAATTTTGAAACCCACCACTCGTTTCAAGCCCTCTTTTTTCCAAACTTCCTTTCCCCCTGAGAAATTAAAACTTCAGGACCAGATTTATCACCTCTGTTGTTATTTTTTTTTTAAAGAAAGTTTTTATTTATAAGCAAAATATACCACAGAGCATTCTCTAAAAAACAGACCTGAGTGGAAAATGCGTTTTTACAAAAGTAATGAGTGGAAAAAACATTTCATATACAGCATTTTTTCTTCTTTAAAAAGTATATACATTTATATATTTATTTATTTATATATATATATAAAAAAAATCATTAATAAGAATCTAAAGCAGGGGTCTCCAATCTTGGCAACTTTTAAGACTTGTGAACTTCAACTCCCAGAATCAAAGCTGACTGAGGAGTTCTGGGAGTTGAAGTCCACAAGTTTTAAACTTGCCAAGATTGGAGACCCCTGATCTAAAGGGAAATAATTCAACGGACTGTGTGCACGTCAGCTTGATAGACTGTAATCTTAATGTAATAGCAGATGAAGTCAAATAACAGGAATGACAGGTACAAGGAATGTCAAAAGGAGGTGTGTTGCATGTCAAAAAAAGGGGGGGTGGGGTTTAGACATGCTAGCTGGGCCATTCTGGGATTTGAAGTCCACAGGTTTTAAAATGGCCATAGTTGGACAGCACTGCTTTTTAAGACCAGCAGAATGAATGAATGAATGACCTCCAATCTGGCCATCCCTTACAGATCCCCAAAAGGAAGACGAGATTGCATCAATACATACTGGCAAGCAGAACGGAAAATATGATTTGGCAGCTGGAATGAAGTCCCTGAAAATAGGATTCAACCAACGGCAGGGAAGAAGCTTTCTCAAAGACGTTGGCATTGCACAATTGTATCTGCTAGTCCCAAACTGAAGCGCGACATGGAACCACGGCTGCAAGATTCACTTTGAAAAATGGATCAGCTGAGTAACATAAAATCCCCCCTACTTTTATTTTTTTTGCAGCCCCTCTGCCAGACTGGACCCCTTTTTATTATTTTCCAGGCAGGCTCTGAGACCAGAATTGCTGTAACTAACATCAGACCTGGCCCTACCCAGCTATGTTTGCAGGAAACCTTAACTTGGTGACTACGTTAACCAATTTTTCCTAAGTTCATACAAGACATTCAGTTAGTTTCCGTTTCAAAAGGCTTGGAGGTTGCAAATCAAGGATCATCCCCCAAACAGTCAAACTAAAGTCCAAACTAACTAGATTAGCATATGGACCAAATGCTTCTCTCCAGGTGTGGTCTGTAACCAGCAGTCCGAAGATACGGTGGCTGCCCACACATACGCTCATAAATGTTGTGTTTCCTCACAACGGGGATAAAGAACAGCCCCCGCAGGATTTCTCAGCCTTGGCACCTACCAAATGTGTGGAGTTCAGCTCCCAGAATTCCTCAGCCAGCATTCTAGCAAACTGTAAGATGTGTAGACTTCAACTCCCAGAATTCCCCAGCCAGCATGCTAACGGTGGACTTCAACTCCCAGAATTCCCCAGCCAGCATTCTAGCAAACTGTAAGATGTGTAGACTTCAACTCCCAGAATTCCCCAGCCAGCATGCTAACGGTGGACTTCAACTCCCAGAATTCCCCAGCCAGCATGCTAGCAAGCTTTAAGATGTGTGGACTTCAACTCCCAGAATTCTGGGAGCTGCCATTCACAGGTCTTCGAATTGCCAAGATTGAGAAATACTGCTTTGTATGACATAGTCAGCTACATACAAGCTGTCGGGGTAACATTATCATCACCATCGGCAAGGATCGTGCAGGTTGGGTTTTTCCCAGGAGAGCAAAACGGCGATGGAGAACTGACACTGGTGGTTATTTCCATCTTCCTTGCAGCTGTTGAAGGTGGAGACTTTTCCAGGAAGAAACTGAGATTGGGGGTTTTCCTTGGGGCGGGGGGGGGGGCATTTCCTAGCCGATGCAGGTGGGTCCGTCTCTCGTTTCTGCAAAGGCCTTGCAAAAAAAAAAACGGAAGAAAGAAGAAAAAAACTTCTCCCTCATCACAGCAGAGAAGGACGGAGGGGTTAGGAATCCATTTTTAACCATCCTGAAGTCCTCATCTGGATAGGCACTGGAGATTTTTAATTCGGACCACCATTTGTCTGAAACGGTATATAGAGTTTCATGCCTGAGCAGGGGGTTGGACTAGAAGACCTCCAAGGTCCCTTCCGTCTCTGTTCTTCTGTTCTGGGTTTTTTGTTTTGTTTTGTCTGTCTTTGCAGGATTCTCAGTCTCTCCCCAGAGATCAGCTTTTGCACTGTTCAGGTATGGCTAAAATAAAATGCCGGCCAGTTTCCTCAAGACTTGGTCTTCTTAAGAATCCCGTCAGTGATGGAGGAAACCCTGAAGTTTTTCATGAGAGTAGATCAGTCTGAACGTTCCTCTTGGGATTCAGTTCAGGAGCCAGATGTGGAGAGCTCCAGAAATATTTCTTGAGAAGCACGCGGGATATAAAAAGTCCATCTGATTTTTTTTTTTTTAAAAAATATGACTCTGCTCCATGCAATCTGAGGTTTAGAGCAGGGGTCTCCAACCTTGGCAACTTGAAGCCTGGAGGACTTCAACTCCCAGAATCCCCGAATGGGGGATTCTGGGAGTTGAAGTCCTCCAGGCTTCAAGTTGCCAAGGTTGGAGACCCCTGGTTTAGAGTGACCGTCTTTCATTTGTCCTTGGTGTCAAGTCAAGGATGATGAGCAGACAATTGTGGCAGTGAAACAGCTGGAAATAAATGTAGGAAGGGGGTAAGGAACAAAATACAGGTAGTTCTTAACTTACAACAATTTGCTTAATGGCGTTCGAAGTTACAACGACACTGAAAAATGTGATTTATGACTGTTTTTTCACACTTATATAATAAAACCATGGCAGCTTCCCGGTAGTCACGTGATCAAAATCCGGCACGCTTGGCAACGGACTCCTAGTTATGACGGTCCCCGCATCACGTGATTCCCCCCTTTTTGGCGACCGTCTGACCGGCAAAGTCATCGGGGAAGCCAGATTCGCTTAACAACCATGTGTCCCGATGTAACGACGGCGGTGGCTCACTTTAAGAATCGTGGCGAGGAAGGTGGCAAAAATGGAGCGAAATCCACTTAGCGACGGAAGTGTCGGGGCTCAGTTGTGGTCGTTAAGTACGAGGACCACCTGTATTCCCGTTGGAAGGAACGGGAATTAAAAAGACAAGACCTGGGTTTGCTTGCTTGCGTTCACACAACATCCTTCATCTGGTTACGAATTAAACCTTTGGGTGGGATTCGCACAGTGCCCTTGAACTGTAAACACATTAAATGGTTCAGACCCACTAATGCAGACATCCACAAATCCCTACTTTCAGGTTAAAACAATCTAAGCTTAACAAGGTTGTGTGAATGCAACCTCTAAGAGGCTTTTAGTTTACTGGGTTGGGGAAATATCACTCATGGAGGAAATTTAGAGAGTAAAATTTGCCCCCAAAACCTTCACAGACAGGATGGCTGGGTTTGCCCCCTAATATGAACAGGGTTCGCATATCATGCTACACCATAAAAAAGTATCTTATTTTGACTTCATATATGCTGTACAAACCCAGCCTTTTGTAAACCATATTTGTGCTTTTGCAAACCACGATTTATGGTGGAGGAGGGGAATATTTCTCAACCTGGGCGCCTTGAAGATGGGTGGACTTCGACTCCCAGAATTCCCTAGCCGGCCATGATACTTTCTGCTGGGCTGGGGAATTCTGGGAGTTGAAGTCCACCCAGCTTCAAGTCGCCTAGGGTGAGAACCGTAGCTTAGAGTGACATCGGAGCCAATTAGCTGTCTGATAAGACCGACATCGTTAAGAGAAGAGTGGCCCAATACACTCAGCCCATTGTTGGAAGGCCGCGATTTATGGCTTAAATGACTTATGGGAAATTTGACTCATTGTGGTTTGTTCAGCAGCCTGTTCCGATGGAGCAAACCACAGCTCAGAGCAATTTCTGCCTCAGGCTGCTGAGTAATAGCACGCAAGGGCTGAAAATTGTGACTGTGACCATTGGGAATGGAAGAAGAAAGGCAGGCAAAGGGAAATCCTGTGGGTCTCTTCCCTTCAGTGGCAGGAGAGAGGATGGGGGGGGGGCAACCTCTATCCTGCCACGTTAACCCCCCTCCCCACTGGCTCCCGAAAAAGGACTCCCATCTAAATCCCGTGTTTGCATCATCTCCGTCGGCAGAATCAGGAGTGAGCGATTCCTGGGGTGATGGATGGCTGTGGGTCTCAAGGGTTTGTCTTTGGAAGCCCCCTCTTGAGGGCGGAGAGGTGGGGAGTCACCAGCCTTGCAACCAGCCAGCTCAGGGGGTCTGCAGATCTTCCCTTTTTTTAGGCCCCTTCCTCAGTGGCGGCGTAGCCGAGGGTCTCGGTCAAGAGCCGGCTGTTCTCGAGGGGAGTGGGGCACATGACGTAGCGGCCCGTCGCCTGCGGGGGATGGACCTCGGCGGACGTGACCATGGCCTTCAGATGCTGGCTCTCTTGCCAGGCCTTCTCGGAGCCAAGCCTCCCACGGCGCCCAGCTCCGCCTCGGCGGGGGCCACTCCATCGTCCATGTTGACGTAGAGGATCTCCTCGGGATCTTTGGGCGGTGGGAGCGACTTGAGGGTCTTCTCCAGCTCCTGGGACAGGATTTCGAAAGTGGGACGGTCGCGGGGGTTCAGCGCCCAACAGCTCATCATCAGCTCATACCTGGGGGGAGGGGGTGGGATGGAGGGGAGGGGGAGAGTAATAAGAAGACGGAGAAATTATTTCTGGAGAAGAGATTCCTTCTGGGGATCTGCAGCCAGGGTCAGCAATCTGGGCAACTTTAAAACTTGTGGACTTCAATGCCAGAATTCCCCAACCAGCGTGCTAGAAGGAAGTGGGGTTTATAAAGAGAGAGCAAACACTCCCTTCTACATTGATGATGTTAGATAGTTGGGTCATGAAACGTCTGCATGAAAACAACCAAGTTCAGAGAGCAATCCAGATGGAGTCCAGATGCTCCCAGTGGAAAGATTGGAAGCTGGTTTCCAGCGAGAAACGAAAAGTTAGCCCGATTTATTGGCCGGAAAGTGGAAAAGGGAGACTCACCACGTCGCTCTTGGTGGTATAAACGCGATCGGCCAGGCTCTCGATGGCAATCCATTTCACCGGCATCTTGGAGATACGACCTTGGCGGTAATAATCACCGTTGTAGATCTTCTTGGAGAGGCCGAAATCGGCCACGCAGGCCGTCATGCTTTCGTTCAGCCTGTGGAGGGAATGCGAAGGGCTCTTGAAGGAAAGGCTTTATAAAACAGGGGTCTCCAACCTTGGCAACTTTACGACTTGTGGACTTCAACTCCCAGAATTCCTCAGCTTTGCTGGCTAAGGGATTCTGGGGGTTGAAGTCCACAAGTCGTAAAGTTAACCCCTGCTTTAAGGGGTGAAGACAAGGGGACCGTGTAACAGGCAGAAGGAATAAACCTTGAGGGACAGGAAAGAGAGCAAACCACCAAGATGAAGCTCAGATAAAAGAAACCTGAGCCCAGGGCAGAAACGTAATCTGAGGAAGCGTCTCAGACAAGACCACTGATGGTTCTCATGAAGATAAAGGAAGGAAAGTTCACACTCAGATTTAGAAGATCCTAAACCAGATTGGTCTAGTGGTGAAGGCACCAGGCTAGAAATTCAGGAGACTGTGAGTTCTAGTCCCACCTTAACCATGAAAGCCAATTGGGTGACTTTGAGCCAATCACCAGGAGATGGTGAGTTCTAGTCCCACCTTAGCCATGAAAGTCAGATGGGTGATTTTAGGCCAATCTTTCTCTCTCAGCCCACCCAGGGGTGAAATCCAGCAGCTTCTGACAGGTTCTGGAGAACCGGTAGCGGAAATTTTGAGTAGTTTGGAGAACCGGCAAATACCACCTCTGGCTCGCCCCAGAGTGAGATGGGAATGGAGACTTTGCAATATCCTTCCCCTGCCACGTCCACCAAGCCACACCACACCACGCCCGCCAAGCCACGCCCACAGAACCGGTAGTAAAAAAATTTGGATTTCACCACTGAGGCCACACAAACCTACAGGGTTGTTTTTGTGGGGGAAATAGGAGTAGAAAGGCATATCTGCCTGCCACTTTTGAGTTATTTACAAAAATAATAAAGGTGAGATAAAAGTAAAGAAAATAAAAAGAAAGTAAGTTATAATAAAAATAGTATTTATATGCACAACTTCGGTTTCCTAGTCTAGTCACCACGAAGGGCTGACCCTATAGCAACATTACTACTGAATTCTTCAAATCAGAGATTGGAAACCTCTGAATATCCTCCAACGAATGAAATCATGGTGCACCCCAAGCCAAGAAGCTTCTGGACTTCAACTCCCAGAATTCTCAGCAAAGGCTGGTGTTAGGATATGGTTTGAGCCTAACAAGTTGTCCAGGCAATATATGTGTTCTGTGACTTTAATATGAATATGTATTGTGTGACTTTAAAGTTTTACTGCTGATTCATTGTAATGCTGAGTCATGCTGTAATTAGACAATCACTAGTTGTAAATGTATTTAAGAAAGGTACTGTAACGTATTCAGTTGATGATATGCTACCATTGTGTGTGGAGTTGCTACCATTGTGCTATCATCGTTGGATGGATCTGCTACCATCGTGGTTGGTTACCAGAGTGAGTTTGTTATTCTAACCAACTACTGTTTGTATGGTAAGAAGAGTTTTTGTATCACTGGACTGATTGAACTGGCAAAGACTTGGATTGATTTACAAGACTATGAGATTGTTTTTTCACTATAAAGTAAACTTTTGATAAACCAGTTTGCACATCTCCTATTCATTCTCTTATTCTTAACAGCTGGGAAAGTTTGAGAACTGAAATCTCCAAATATGGATGGTGCTGAAATGCAGAACGCCAAACTGGATCCCGATTGGGGCCTCATTGCTGATCTCTGCTTCTAAATCCCCCTCCCCTTTTTTTAGGGTTTTCCATACACACTCACATGCAGTTGCGGGCCGCGAGGTCCCGATGAATGAAGTTCTTGCTACTGAGGTACTCCATGCCACTTGCAATGTCCACCATGAACTTGACCAGCGTCTGCGTGGGGAGGTACTTTAAAGGAAGAAGAGCACAATCAGAGGAGTGTGGATGGAGATTCTCAACCATTCAGGTCAATGGTTGCCCCTAAGGCACTTTTTTCAAGAGACAACTGGACTTCCTGGTTTTTCTTTGAAGACGTTTCGCTTCTCATCCCAAGAAGCTTCTTCAGTTCTGACTGGAGAATTCCATTCCCCACCATTCAGTCAGATCTGAAGAAGCTTCTTGGATGAGAAGCGAAACGTCTTCAAAGAAGAACCAGAAAGTCCAGTTGCCTCTTGAAAAAAGCACCTTTGAGACAATCAAAAGCACCTTTGAGACAAGGCAAGAGCCTTGGTGGCGCAGAAGACTTAAAGCACTGTTAAGTAACACCAGCTGCCCGCAATTACTGCAAGTTCGAATCTCACCAGGCTCAAGGTTGACTCAGCCTTCCATCCTTCCGAGGTAGGTAAAATGAGGACCCGGATTGTGGGGGCAATAAGCTGACTTTATATATAGAAGAACACTGCTTGGGGGGGCGCGAAAGCCCTACTAAGCAGGTATATACAAAAGTATAAAGGCTATTGCTTAACACATTGTAAGCCGCCCTGAGTCTCCGGAGAAGGGTGGCATATAAATCGAACCAATAAAGAAATAAATCAGAGGAGACACCAACAAGCTCTCATCTGGGACTTAAGCCACCCTCGGAATGGAGTACAGATTACAGATTAACAGTGTTGGAAGGGACCTTGTAGGTCATCTAGTCCGACCCTACACCCAAGCAGGAGACCCTACACCATTTCTGACAGATGGCAATTCAGTCTCTTCTTGAAAGCTTCCAGTGATGAAGCTCCCACGACTTCTGAAGGCAACTTCTGTTCCATCGGTTGATTGTTCTCCCTGTCGGAAAATTCCTCCTTATTTTTAGGTTGAATCTCTCCTTGGTCAGTTTCCATCCATTATTCCTTGTCTGGCCTTTAGGTACCATGGAGAATAGCTTGACCCCTTCCTCTCTGGGGCAGCCCCTCAAATATTGGAAGATGCTATCCTGTCTCCCCTCGTCCTTCTCTTCACTAGACCAGCCATGCCCGGTTCCTGCAACCGTTCATCGTATGTTTTAGCCTCCAGTCCCCTCATCCTCTTGGTTGCTCTTCTCTGCACTCTTTCTAGAGTCTCAACATCTTTTTTATAGTGTGGTGACCAAAACTGGATGCAGTTTGGCCTTACTAGGTGTTGCCTTACTAGAGCTTTATAGAGTGGTATTAGTACCTCCCTGTTCTGTCCCCGTCTCACACACGCACACAAACAGACAGCCAGGGATCAAATAAAACTGGCAGACAACAAATTCTTTCGATAAGAGGATTGGCAGCAACCCAGTAGCTGCTTGCCAAGAACTTTACGCATAGAGGGAGGGGTTGTTCCTCCGTCAGATAAACCCAAACAAGATACATACAGTTCAAGAATTGTCAAGTCCAGTCCGTATTAAATCCAAGGCAGATAACGTTGTTTCCAAAGATACAATGTGACTCGCTAGTAGTTTAGTTTTGTCCATCACAGAGTCTGAATGGCCACCTCACCCCACTTTATCCCCTGTGGGGTGTGGTCCAGTGACTAAGCTTAATCTCTGGCATGCCTCCTTTTCTGCTGCGTGCGCTTGTCTCTCCGATGCTGGCGTGGATCCAGCCAAGACTTATCTCCATCACTGTCCGACTGCGAGGAGATACCTGGCTCCTGGCCAATCTCTTCTCCTTCGGGAGACACCTGAGGCATTGCCAGAGAGGAGGGTCCTGGAGAGGGAGGCCTGGCCAACTCCTCTCCTTCACGTTCGGAGCCTTCTCCCTCCGATAAGTCGGCCTCGGGGATCGGAGTCACAACACTCCCTTGATCTTGATTGTATCCCTCTGTTCATGCAATTTAGGATTGCATTGGCTTTTTTGGCTGCCGCCGCACAATGCTAGCTCATATTTAGCTGGTTGTCCACTAAGACAACTAAGGCAGTCCATCGTTTTAGGGCTAAGAGTCAATGATCCTGCAGGATTGCTACCTACCACGGGGCTCTCCCCGAGCCGGGAGTAGAGCAGGAAGCTGTGTAGATCTCCATGTTTCATGAATGGCAGGATCACCACAGGGGATGGGTAGCCTTCACTCTCTGTGTTCTGCAGACAGACGCCTTCAAGAAAAAGAGAGAGGAGACATTTATAAATACTCTAAAGCGGAAGAAGGCGAGGGGTCCTTGGTGCTCTCTGAGCTTGGTGGATTTCTTACAAACGTTTCATGACCCTACTAGGTAACATGATCAGTGCAAGAAGGGAATGGGGTTTGTGAAGGAGAAGGGAGTGGTAGGGGAGGCAGAGACGGAAGAGGAGAAGGAGGAATGTGGGGTTTTGGTGTTCTCTGAGCTTGGTGGTTTTGTTGCAGGCATTCCATGACCCTACTAGGTAACATCATCAGTGTTAGGAGTGGGGTTGTGAAGGAGAAGTAGGGAGGAGGAGGACTGGGGCGCTGGGTGGTCTCTGAGCTTAGTGGTTTTCTTGCAGATGTTGCATTACTCAACTAGTCTTGGTGGCGCAGCAGACTAATGTACTGTTAAGTAACATCAGCTGCCTGCAATTACTGCAAGTTCAAATCTCACCAGGCTCAAGGTTGACTCAGCCTTCCATCCTTCCGAGGTAGGTAAAATGAGGACCCGGTTTGTGGGGGCAATAAGGTGACTTTGTATAAAAAAAGAACACCGCTTAGGGGGGCCCCAAAAGCCCTACTAAGCAGGTATATACAAAAAGTATGAAGTCTATTGCTTAACGCATTGTCAGCCGCCCTGAGTCTCTGGAGAAGGGCGGCATATAAATCGAACCAATAAATAAACTAGGTAAGATAATCTGTACTAGAAGAGAGTGGGGTTTGTAAAGGAAAAGGGAGGAGGAGGAGGAGGAGGGGGAGGAGGGGGAGGAGGAGGAGGAAGACTGTCGGGTCCTTGATGCTCTCTGAGCTTGGCTGTTTTCTTGCAAACGTTTCATGACCCAAACTAGGTAACATCACTGAACACTGATGATGTTCCCTAGCTGGGTCATAAAACGTCTTCAAGAAAACAGCCAAGCTCAGAGAGCACCAAGGACCCTTCGTTCCAACCCTGAGCATGTAAAAAATGCAAGTAGAAAAATAGGGACCACCTTTGGTGGGAAGGTAACAGCGTTCCGTGTGCCTTTGGCATTGAGTCATGACCACGGAGATATCTCTGGACAGAGCTGGCTCTTTGGCTTTGGAACAGAGATGAGCACTGCCCCCTAGAGTTGGGAAGGACTAGCCTATATGTGCGAGAGGAACCTTTACCTTTTTAATGTTATTTTGACTGTGTTCCCTTTTTAACAGGAACCAGAAGGCAGGAAAAAGGGATGAGGAGGAAGGGTGGGGGGGGGGGAAGGAGGACTGAATGAGAAAGTCCCATTTTTCCTCCTCCAAAAACCCCAATGCAAGTCTGAGTTGCATTAGCTGAGCTTCCGCCCACCCGTCTGTCAGCCCCGTCCCAGTCAGGACTCCGACATCTCTTGCCAACATCTGTTTTCCCAAAGTAATGTTCTCTGTTCCCTCTCGCTCACAGCTTCATCCTCCCCAGGGGACAATCTGTCCTTTTTGCTTTCCCCAGCCCAGTCTCTCCCTCCCCAAAGCCCAAGCGCTCTTTCCTTTCTTTTCCATCATTTTTTTTTCTCCTCCCAGGCTCCAGCTAAATTCCACCCCCCCCCCCCCCCCCCCCGATGGAACGAGCAAAGGTGCAACTTTGCAGGTCTCTCCAGGCTGGGCTGCTTTCCCCACCCCACCCCCTCCGCCCCATGCCGGAAATTGTAAATCTGCCCACGATTGGATGTCAATCCCAGTCTGGGAATTTACTAAATGGAGGAAGTATGCAGAGAAAGGAAGGGGGAGGCAGACCTGACGGAAAGGAGTAGGTTAACCTGACATGCTCTAGGTGAGTTGGAATCAGCATTTCTCAACCTTGGCAAGTTTAAGGTATGAGGGTTTCAGCTTCCAGAATTCCCCAGTTAGCAAGCATGGATTTCAACTCCCAAAACTCTCCAGCCGGCCTGCTTGGACTGGAGCTTCCCAGCATGCTGGCTGGGGGATTCCGGGAATAGAACTAGAATTAGAATTAGAATTAGAATTAGAATTAGAATTAGAATAGAATAGAATAGAATAGAATAGAATAGAATAGAATAGAATAGAAAACTGGAAGGGATCTTGGAGGTCTTCTAGTCCAGCCCCCAACCCTGAGTGGAAGTCCACATTTCTTAATATTACTGAAGTTGAGAAACATTTTCCTATACTCTGTCTTCAGCACTGGTTGGGGCTCACAGAAATTGTGGTCCTAAACAAGTAGATTGGCAGATCTGCATTCATCCTCTTTTTGTGGCTCCAAGATTGGGGAACACCGGTCCTCTGTAAATGTATCTTTCTCTTTCTCTTTTTTTCCCCCTTTCTATCTTTTTCATATATTAAAAAAAATGTTTCTTCTGCTCTCTTTGCATCATAGCTTCACCCTCTGTGCTCCTTGCCCTTGTTGAAAGCTCTCTATGGTTGGCCTTCTTGACCAATCTCTATGGTTGGCCTTCTTGACCAGTCTCTATGGTTGGTCTTCTTGACCAGTCTCTATGGTTGACCGCTCTCTATGATTGACTTTGTTGAGACTATAGAGACCATAGAGATTTGGACTAGAAGGAGGAAACCATGGATGCTTTACATGTCTGCAGGAAGCCGGTTATACAAGAAGAAATCTCCTCGTCCCTCACCTATCAGTTTCATGACGTTGGGATGGTCAAAGTCCTTCATGCAAACAGCCTCACTGAGGAAGTCCTCCATCTCGCTGCGGGTGCATATGGCAACTGTCGAGAGAAGAGAGAAATTAGTGCTTTGGTAGCATTAATCCTTGCTCAAGGAATTCTGATCATGAAACTTGACAGACATAAGATAGATATAGATAGATAGATAGATAGATAGATATGATAAATAGAGATGATAAATAGATAGATAGATAGATAGATAGATAGATAGATAGATAGATAGATAGAGATGATAAATAGAGATGATAGGTAGGTAGGTAGATAGGTAGGTAGGTAGGTAGATAGATAGATAGATAGATAGATAGATAGATAGATAGACAGATAGATAGATAATGATAGATAGATTAGATAGATAGATATAATAAATAGAGATGATAAATAGATAGATAGATGATAGATAGATATAGATAGAGATGATAGATAGATAGATAGATAGATAGAGATGATACATAGAGATGATAGAGATGATAGAAATGATAGAGATGATTAAATAAACAAACAAACAAACAAATAAATAAATAAATAAGATTTACATGACCACCATCCACTCACAATGACTCTGGACGGCTTACAAACAATATAAATATAAAATTAAATTTAAAAAATATATAAAATGTTTACCCAATATAAAAAGGATAAAAACAGTAAAAACAATAACCCACCCACCCCTGGCGACAACAATCAAACAAGCCCCTTGAAGGGGGTCCATCCATCCCACTCTGGGTTCCTCAGACCTGTTGGCAAAAGCAGCTTTTCGAGCGTGTCAAAGTGGGGGCCAGTCTAATCTCTGTGGGGATGATATCCCAAAGGAAGGGAGCCACCACAGAGAAGGCCCTTCTTTTGGGTCCCTCCAGATTTAACTCTTTAGGAGAGGGGACTCGCAACAGGCACACTTAAGACACTTAACACTGAGGAAAAAGAAAGGGAACCTCTGGGTATATGCAGAGTGTTATTCCTTCAGGATAATTGTGCTCTCTCTCTCTCAATTTATCGGGGTTGAGGCAGCTCTTAACCCTCCCATCAAAAAAGAGCATTTTTTTCCTCCTTGTGACTACTTACTCTTCATTGTCTTGACCGCAACTTTAAAGACGGCACCGTCTTGGCTGAGTTGACCCTCCATAACCGAGCCAAATTCTCCTGCCGAGACAGAAAAAAAGTTTAAAAAGACTCTTCATTGGGCTTCTCTGAGGAAAATCAAAGATGGCTGACATCCCTGCCACCTTTAGGATGGCTCTGTGCCACTCATATCATCCCCTGCTAGAATTGTAAAAGGTTTATGATGATGAATAAGGTCTTTTTAAAACTATTACAAGTAATCCTCAATTTACCATGGTTCATTTAGTGACCGAAGTTACAACGGCACTGAAAAAAGTGACTTTTGAACGTTTCTCACACTTATGACCGTTGCGGCATCCCCATGGTCACATGATCTACATTTGGATATTTGACAACTGACTCATATTTATGACGGTTGGTCGTGGCCTGTGCAGTGATTCACTTAACAACGGTGGCAAGAAAAGTCGTAAAACGGGGCAACAACTCACTCAACAAATGTTTCAATTAGCCACGTAAATTTTGGGCTGCATTGTGGCCATAACTCGAGGAGGACTATCTGTATTGTGATTGCCCAAATTTGACTGTCAGTTGCTGTGTTTCTTTGAGCCACAGTAAGGTTTCGGATCTCTTCTTGATTTTAATTTGATTTTAGGAAAGTTGGGCTTCCTTTAGAAGTTCTTGGGATTCAGAGCTCGAGAGGGAAGAATTTCCAAAAGCAAAGTTATGAAATTCAGCCACGTAGCAGGGGGAAAAAGCTGTCATCCAAAGCCTCTAAAGGAATAAATACACCCACACACCGTTATATTGTTGGGTGGGAATGACAAAATGCTCTTTTTCCCCAGAAATTATCATGAGCCTGTCCTAGTGGAAGGGAAGAAAAAATTGATAGCTCAGATAAGAAAGGGAGGCCAGATGCTAATTGCTGTTTCCCTAGAAAAATGACTGAAGTTCACCCAGGCTTGCGAGTAATGGGATCCTCTACGCTGAGTAGTAAATCACTTCTAGGGGATCAGCCAGATGATTTTAACAACAACCGTTTCCTGTTGCCCATTTTTGAAGGTGTGGGATGGATCTAGCCAGGATCGTCATTTTTATGGAGGGTTCTATTCCGGACCAATCTTCCAGGAGCCATAATTAAAAACATTTAGGGAAAATTGAGAAGTCAGCTATTGATTCTCCTTTTTTTTTTTTTTTTTTAAAACTTTGGTCTTTCGGGCTGAGCCTGGAGAACATGCTAACCCCAGAAAGGTTGTTGCCCCTTGGAACGGCATTAAACCAAACCATTTGCAAGGCGAAGAATTCGGTACTACCCCCATACGTATACATAGCTGGTTTAATGCGCTTTCCGATTTTATCCGACTATATATTTATAATTGGGATGGGAGCCGGTTTGGTTGTGGTGGGTAAAGGCATCAAGGAAGGAAGGAACCAGGGAATTCTATTCCTGCTTTAAGACAGGCCCAAAGCCAACTGGGTGATTTTTGACTGGTTCTCTTCTCTAAAGCTTTGGAAGAAGGCTGGGGCAAAGAGCTTGGAAAAATCTTGCCAAGGAAACTGCAGGGACTGTTTAGTTGCCAGAGGCCAACGAGGCAAGCAAAATCATATATACAGGTAGTCCTTAATTTACAACCATTTGTTTAGTGACTGTTCAAAGTTAGCAAGGAGGGAGGGAGGGAGGATGGGAGGAAGGATGGGAAGAAAGAATGAAGGAAGGATAGGAGGAAGGGAGGAAGGAAAGAAGGAGGGAGGGAGGGAGGAAAGGAGGGAGGAAGGGAGGAAGGGAGGAAGGAAGAAGAGGGAAGAAGGGAAGGAAAGGAAGGAAGGAAAGAAGGAGAGAGGGAGGGAGGGAAGGAAGGAAGAAGGGGAGGGAGGGAAGGAAGGAAGGAAGGAAGGAAGGAAGGGAGGGAGGGAGGGAGGGAGGTTGGGAGGGAGGAAGGATGGGAAGAAAGAATGAAGGAAGGATAGGAGGAAGGGAGGAAGGAAAGAAGGAGGGAGGGAGGAAAGGAGGGAGGAAGGGAGGGAGGGAGGAAGGAAGGAAGGAGAGGGAAGAAGGGAAGGAAAGAAGGACAGGGAGGGAGGGAGGGGGGAAGAAAGGAGAGGGAAGAAGGGAAGGACAGGGAGGAAAGAAGGAAGGAAGGAGGGAGGAAGGAAGGAAGGAAGAAAGGAAGGGAGGGAGGGAGGGAGGAAGGAAGGACAAGGAAGAAGGAAAGGAAGGAAGGACAGGGAGGGATCCATTGACGAAAGCTTCTCCGAATGTTTTCCTCCTTTTTGAAAAGCTTCCAAACCAATTCCAGCTGTGCTTGAAGGAAACATCTCGGTTTCCTAAGTGAAGCTGGGAAGGAAAGCCTGCCAGGCCTCTGACCTAAATGAGCCAAACAGCCCTTCATCTTGTTCTATTTTGACGGCAAGAGAGCCAGCGAGAGTGCTTAGTAATGGTGTAGTAGTAGATGATTATGGGTTGTCGTAGAAACCAGGCTCCCCATTAAGGGCCAATTCATATGTCATTAAGCTATAAAGATGGATTAGGGGCCAAACCCACCCCAATTGCTGCCCAGTGCAGGACTTAAGCCATCCAACGAAAGACTAAAACAATTACCATAGCAAAGGAAACAAATAAAAAAAAACACCAGTCAATTAGCAGGCCAAAAAAGAAGTCCGTTTTAAGAGACTTCCAGCAATCTTAACAAATTCCAGGGACCGAAATGAATTGTTGTGCAATTCTCATAAATTCTAATATACATTCACGCAATGATTTCCATGATGCAATTTGAGGCTTTTCCCTCTAGGATAATTGTGCAAATGTGTGGGCTATTTCCCACCCCCCCATCTCATAAATATGCATGTATTTAATCTTACACAAGGGTTGTGTGGTGGGTTATTATTTTTCATCATAAGCAAAAAGAGATTCTCCCAGATGCAAACTCGGAGATTTTAAGAATTAATCCACTGTTTCTCAACTTTTAAGATGTGTGGACTTCCAAGTCCCAGAATTCCCCAGTCAGCCATGCTGGGAGTTGAAGTTCTCATGTCTTCAAAGTTCAGTAGATTCCTGACTAGGGAATTCTGGGATTGAAGTTCTCATGTCTTCAAAGTTTAGTAGATTCCTGACTAGGGAATTCTGGGAGTTGAAGTTCTTATGTCTTCAAAGTTCAGTACATTCCTGACTAGGGAATTCTGGGAGTTGAAGTCCACACATTTTATAAGTTCACAACCTTGCTGGCTGAGGAATCCTGGGACTTGAAGTCCACACTTCCACACAATGAGAAACAGTGGGTAGTTAACCAATCAGGAACTCTCCCCAATTTAGGTACTATCAAGGCAGGGTCATCCACAAGGAGAGGTCAAAACAGTTAAGATGGCAGCTTCAGATGGAAGGCACCAGCTTTGTCTCACCCCGCAATGTCCTCTCACAGGGTCCAACTCGGTTAGCTGGGAGCTGCCACCTGCTGCATTGTTGACTCTATTCCTTTACTATCTAATTGGACTTAAATGGAGGAAAATCAAATTTCATTTTTCAATCTGCTCCTGCCCCTTTCTATGTGGTACAGTCCTGCCCTAACCTTGAACCAATTTTCATTGGGACAAAAAATATGGCCCATTAAACACCTAATAGAGACTGGCCCCAAGAACGTACCTTCGCCAAGGGTCTTGCCCAGAGCCACTCTATGGCGGTCAATCATTACATCCTGAAGCTTTTCCTTCAATTCTTCACTGATGCCCAGACTGTTCACTGCAAGAAGAAAAGGAGATTTTATAGCAGGACTGTGCAACTTGGACAACTTTGTGGATTTCAACTCCCAGAATTCCTCTGCAGATACATTTTTATTCGCTATGCCGGCTGGGGAATTCTGGGAGTTGAAGTCCACAAAGTCTTAAAGTTGCCAAGGTTGGACACCCTTGGTCTAAAGCAGAGGTCTTCAAACTTGGCAGCTTTATGACTTGTGGACTTCAATTCCCAGAATTCCTCTGCAGATACATTTTTATTCGCTATGCCGCTGGAGAATTCTGGGAGTTGAAGTCCACAAGTCTTAAAGATGCCAAGTTTGAAGACCTCTGGTCTAAAATCTAAACTGGTGGCAACTGGGAAAGGGGGAACAATTTCTAAATGCCACGGAAGAAAAATTTGTGTTGCTGTTGGCTTGGTCTTCTGCAGATGGAGGTCCAGGCCATCATGAGATCCAAAACAGAAGACTCCACCAAGAGGACAACATAGTCCAGCTTTCTCGGCTGAATGTCCTGGAGAGCTGCTGGAAGTGAGGCTTCCGAAATTTCAGATAGTACTGCAGGAGATAGGACTTCTACTGCTGCTGCAAACATCTCCAGATCTTGGTTGAATTATATCCAAGTTTCCTGATCGGGCTATGAGTAGAAACCTTATCTAAGTTGAGTTGATCTTCTCCTTCTGAAGGAAAAGCGGGCAGATGCTCCCGACTTGGTTCTGATCTCACCATGAGAACCTTCTTCTTTGAACTTATGGAATCTACCTAGCCATTTATGGACTCTTGATGATTCTATGTACAGAACAATTATGGTCCATAAGACTTAAAAGAGGTCACCTACATCAGGGTCTGGCTCAGTTTTGCCCAGTCTGTTGCCTTGATGGGCTAGAACTGCAACTGCTAGATTTCTGGGGAAATGTGAACGTTTCTCATGCACTGATAATGTTACCTAGTTTGGTAACAAAACGTCTCCAAGAAAATCCCCAAGTTCAGAGAGCACCAAGGACCCCACAATTAATGCTGCTTGCTGGATCTCAGTGTAAACTCACGCCCTGATACACATTGGATTTGTGAGGAAGAGGAACTCAATGTGGTGGCCCGCCAGTGGCCAGCTGAGCTGGCAGCAGATTCGGACAGTGAGGAGGTTAGGGAGGAACATGGGCCAGTCCTGGAGTCTGGGGAAGGCTCCGATGAGAGCTCTGCGTCGGAGGCAGAGAGGGGGCCAGGGCCGTATGCCAGTTATCAGCTGCCTTCGGAGTCAGACATCAGTGAGGCAGGCAAACAGCTAGAGCCTGTTCCCAGTGGGCGCATGTGCAGAGTTGCCAGACGAAGGGAACAGCTAAAGAACAAGGGTCGACTCGGGAGTAAGGCCACAGGTGGACAATGAATGGCCCCTCCCAGAGGGAATAAAAGAGGAGCGCAAGGGGAGTGGAGTTTGCAGGAGACAATTAGTTCGCTTAATTGGTTCGTGACTCTCCGAGACTTCTTGCCAAGTTTTGAAGATATCAGCCTGGTAGCTCTCCAAGCCAGATAAAGTTTGTGACTGTAAACTCTCCCTTGAAAGGCTTTGCTGGATGTGAATGAGAGGAATTCACAGTAACTTAATAAAAAGGGTTTTTTGTCGGGACAAGGAGTCTGCTTCATGCTCTTGGGAAGCCTAGATGAGAACACTCACAAGTAGCTTCAGTGGTCCGGCGGCTGTACGATTTGCGGGCGCGATAATGAACCACCAGCTCTCCCTGTTCCATGTTGGGCTCAAAGGCTTCCCTGAGTAGAAAGAAAACATAAAATGGGGCCCACATTGGTCCCCCCACAAGAACCCCCCCCCCCCAAATGATTGATGAAATATTTAAAATAATGGATGGCCTTTCTTGAGAGGCCCCCTTTGCCTTACCCGTAGCGTGTCTCCTTTTTCCTCATACGTGCCAAGAAGATGATAATGAAGATGGTGGCTGCCACAGCGGTGGCCACGGCGATCACCACATACCACCAGTGCCAGGAGAAGGCAGGGACGGAGATTCCTACTGTGAGGAAGAGAAAGAATTGTTAGTGAGTAGAGCTTTTCCAGTAGGTAAAGCTGTAAGGAAAGGCTGAGAAGGCCAAAGAATGGAGGCCTTTGAACTCTGGTGCTGGAGAAGACTCCTGCGAAGTCCCTTGGACTGCAAGGCGATCCAACCGGCCAGTCCTAGAGGAGATCAACCCTGACTGCTCTTCAGAAGGCCAGATCCTGAAGGTGAAACTCAAATATACTTCGGCCACCTAACGAGAAGGGAGGACTCCCTGGAGAAGAGCCTCATGCTGGGAACGATGGAGGGCAAAAGAAGAAGGGGACGGCAGAGAACGAGGTGGCTGGATGGAGTCCCTGAAGCAGTCGGCCTGAGCTTAAATGGACTCCAGAGGATGGTAGAGGACAGGAAGGCCTGGAGGAACGTTGTCCATGGGGTCGCGATGGGTCGGACACGACTTCGCAACCGACTTATCATCATTTTTCACACTTAGGACCTTTGCAGCATCCCTATGGTTACGGAATTAAAATTAGGGTGCTTGGCAGCTGGCATGTATTTAAACGTGTCTTCCTTTCAACTAATAGATTGGTTGGATGTGTCCCTTGGTTTTTGTTGATCACAGTTTATTGACTAAGCGACAATGTGCTGAGATGGTGGCATTATTATAAACTGGTTTAAAACCACAGTGGCTAGGCACAGTAGCACTCTACTTTAGGCCATAACGTGGTTTGATTTGGGCTTGTATGATGTCTCAAGCCGTTCCTGATAGCTTACTAGGTGCTGACCATGATTTAAAATGAATTCTGGCTTAGCAGTAGATAGAAATGCTTTTTTCATATGCTACAGTCATTTTGAAAAGTGGATTTTAATTTGTCCTCAGAGTTGTCCCATCACAGATCCTGATGGATCTGTGGGTTATCTAGCCTCTGTAACTTTCTGGAAGACAATTAGGATCATTAGATGTGCATTGCAGAACTCCGTAGGCTCACTTGATGGAAGATGTAGTAATCCAAATTGTGGGACGTTCCCTATCCCATTTTTAGTGTTCCTTGGATTCAGAAAAAAGCCTCTCACCTGACTGAGGAGCTGGTAGTACTTCACCTGCAAGAGAAAAAAAACACATTAAGAACTGTGGATGTGGATGGGTGGGTGGATGGATGGATGGATGGATAGATAGATAGATGGATGGATGGATGGATGGATGGATGGATGGATGGATGGATGGATGGATGGGTGGGTGGGTGGGTGGGTGGTGGATTGATGGATTGGGTGGGTGAGTGGATGGATAGATAGATAGATAGATTGATGGACTGGATTGATGGACTGGATGGGATGGATGGATGGGTGCGTGGATGGATGGATGGGATGGATGGGTGGGTAGGTGGATGGATGGGTGGGTGGATGGATGGGATGGATGGATGGATGGATGGATGGGTGGATGGGTGGATGGGTGGATGGATGGATAGATAGATAGATAGATAGATAGATAGATAGATAGATAGATAGATAGATAGATAGATAGATAGATAAAGGGGGGTGGGTGGGTGGGTGATTGATGGATCAGATCGATGGGTGGATGGATGGATGGAGATAGCCAGATAACTGGACAGCTAGACAGATACTTGGGCAATAAGACAGTTGCAAGCAAACTATCAAGGCTAAAGAGAACCAAGAACTCCACAGATAGATGACAGATGGATGGTGATGGTAGACAGACAGACAGGCGCTCTTGACCGCCATTGCCTCCGTTAGAACAAAACTTTGATCTTTTGGGTTCTCACCAGACCTACATTTGAAAGCAGACTCCATTTCACAACTGGGTTTTGTTCTAGAACTCTGTAACTTCTCCAAGCCGCAAGAAACGGAGCCGAAATGAAGAGCCAGGTGGTCTGACTGCATCAGAACCAGCCACGGTTGACGGCCCTCCAGGTGGCACGTGGTCTCCCATTTCTCACCTGGTTTCGAGGAGAGGATCATGATGGCTTCGCTCCAGGGTCCGTCTCCAGCACTGGTGTAGGCTGCAATCCGTACGGTCAAGTTCTGTACACTTGAGTTCAGAGACAAAACTGTCTCGTTGGTCAGTCCCACGTCCACGATCACCTTGAAGGGAAGAGAACTTCGATCACGTGATTGTGGAGATGCTGCCACGGTCATCAGGCCAGGACCTGCTGTAAGTCCCATTTTTCAGTGCTGTTGGAACGGTTTATTTATTCATTTATTGGTTCGATTTATATGCCACCCTGAGTGGCATAGGAGGCTAATGCCTCCTACTAAGGCAGCATTTAACATCCAGCTGCCTGCAATTACTGCGAGTTCAATTCTCACCAGGCTCAAGGTCGACTCAGCCTTCCATCCTTTCTAAGGTGGGTAAAATGAGGACCCGGTTTGTGGGGGCAATAAGCTGACTTTGTATAAAATATACATTGTAAGCCGCCCTGAGTCTCCGGAGAAGGGCGGCATATAAAAATGAATAAACATTAAAAAAAAAAAAATTCTCCGGAGACTCAGGGCTGCTTACAATGCATTAAGCAATAGCCTTCATACTTTTGTATATAGCTGCTTAGTAAGGCTTTCGTGCCCCCCCGCCAAGTGGTGTTCTTTTTTATACAAAGTCAGCTTATTGCCCCCACAATCTGGGTCCTCATTTTACCTACCTCGGAAGGATGGAAGGCTGAGTCAATCTTGAGCCTGGTGAGATTTGAACTCGCAGTAATTGCAGGCAGCTGGAATTACTAAGTGCTACTTAACAGCACTTTAGTCCGCTGCACCACCAAGGCTCTCGGTTGCTAAACAAGTTGAGGACGATCGGTAAACTTTCAGCTGGGGATTGGAATAGGGTACGGCAGGGGTCCTCAACCTCCGGGCCGTGGACCAGCCATGGGCCATGGCATGCCAGAAACCGGACCACGTAAACAAGCAAAGTCCCATCTGCGGGATGCAGGCCGCAAGTGTAACCACACCTCCTTCCGGTCCACGGAAAAATCTCTCTCCACAAAACCGGTTCCTGGTGCCCAAACGGTGGGGGGCCACTGGGGTACAGCACGCTTGGCCAGGATGCTTGGGAGTTGGGCAGCCTGCAGGTGCAACCTCGTACTCACCTCGGGTGAATCCCCACTTTGACACACGAGCTTATACCCCCGAAGAATCCCGTTAATGCTGCCCTGTGGTTGTCCCCACTGGATGATGGTGCCGCTGCCGTTCTGAATCGCCTCAACGTTCTCTGGCGGGGTTGCAGGCGCTGTGAGAGAAACGTTATATTGAATTGAATTGAATTTATTAAATTTTTATACCGCCCTTCTCCCAGAGGGACTCAGGACGGTGAACAGCCAGGATTAAAATACATACAATATGAAAATTAAAATAGTTTAAAACATAATTAAATCCATTTGGCTTCCCCAGTTTAAAAACCCCTTACCCATAAAACAATTAAAAATTTTAAGCCAGCCCGGCTTGCTGAAATAGGAAGGTCTTCAAAGCTCGAAAGAAAGTACGGAGGTCCGGGATCAGTCGTATTCCTGGGGGTAGCTCGTTCCAGAGGGCGGGTGCCCCCACAGAGAAGGCTCTCCCCCTGGGGGTCGTCAGTCGACATTGCTTGACCGACGGCACCCTGAGGAGACCCTCTCTGTGGGAGCGGATTGGCCGGTGGGAGGTTATCGGTGGCAGAAGGTGGTCTCGTAAATACCCAGGCCCTAAGCCATGGAGCACTTTAAAGATGAGAACCAATACCTTGAAGCGCACCCGGAAGACCACCGGAAGCCAGTGCAGCTCGTGCAGGAGAGGTGTTACCTCCTGCACCATGGCCGGAGGTTTTTGTATGCACAACAATGAATTAGACATTCTAATGTGGTTTTTTTACTGTTTTAATGCTTTGGACTGTTTTTTATTGTTTTAATGTGGTTTTTTTTATTTTAAATTTTAATCATAATATTAAAGTTTTGAATTGTGAGCTGCCCAGAGTTGTTTGTTGAGATGGGTGGCTATAGAAATCAAGCAATTAAATAATAAAGTGAAGTGAAGTGAAGTGAAGTGAAGTGAAGTGAAGTGAAGTGAAGTAAAGTAAAGTAATAAAATTAAATTAAATAAAATTAAATTACAGGTAGTCCTCAATTTACAACCACAATTGAGCCCAAATTTTCTGTTGCTAAATGAGACAGTTGTTAAGAGAGTTTTGTCCCATTTTATGACCTTTCTTGCCACAGTTGTTAAGTGAATCACTGCACTTACTAAGCCAGGGTTCAACTAGTAACAGCTTTCTTAAGTGAACCTGGTTTCCCCCCTTGACTTGGCTTGTCAGGTTGCAAAAGGGGATCATGTGACTCCTGGGGATGCTGCGGCCGTCATAAATAAGCATCTGAATTGTGATCATGTGACCATGGGGATGCTGCAATGGTCGTAAGTGTGAAAAAACAGTCATGAGTCATGTTTTTCAGTGCCGTTCTAACGCCAAACGGTCACTAAATGAACTGTTGTAAGTCGAGGACTAACTGTAAATGTTGTAACTTGAGTCCTCCGTACAAGAAGGAAGACGCCATTTCTGGCTATAGGTAGACCTCAATTTATGAAGTTAGGGGGCTGGGGTCTTGGCATTTCATCCCTCCCCATTTCCCTCCCCCTCCCTCTTACCCCCTTCCAAGGTCTCCATAGCGACCCAGTGGGTCCAGGGCGAATGGCCCTCGGTGGAATGGCAGGCCACGCGCACGTGGTAGGTGGTGAAGGCTGCCAGGCCGTCCAGCGTGTGGCTGAAAGGCGGGACGCGGATCTTGCGGTTATACAGCTCGTCGGAAACGGTGCTCAGGTCTTCATCGGAGCGCATAGCCTGGGAGAAAGAAGAACATAAGCGGGTGAGGGTTCCTTCCAGTTCTCCTTCTGTTCTGTTTTCTTTCTTTCTTTCTTTCTTTCTTTCTTTCTTTCTTTCTTTCTTTTTCTTTCTTTTCTTTCTTTCTTTCTTTCTTTCTTTCTTTCTTTCTTTCTTTCTTTCTTTCTTTTATTAGATTTATATACCGCCCTACTCCCGAAGGACTCAGGGCGGTGAACAGGCACAAAATAAAATACATAAATACAAAAGTTAAGAACATAATTAAAAACAGATTACTGATTCTATTCTATTCTATTCTATTCTATTCTATTCTATTCTATTCTATATATTCTATTCTATATTTTCTATATTTATTCTATTCTATTCTATTCTCTATACTATTTTCTATATCTATTCTATTCTATTCTATTCTATTCTAATTCTATTCTATTATTGTTTTATTCTTATTCTATTCTAATTCTAATTCAATTCTAATTCTAACTCTAATTCTATTCTAATTGTTTTATTCTTATTCTATTTTATTCTATTATTGTTTTATTCCTATCCTATCCTATCCTATCCTGGTTTTATTTCCATTCCATTCCATTCCATTCCATTCTAAACCCTGATTATTGATCATGGTCCCAAACTGCAAGGAGATCATTTTGAGTGGAAGAAAAGAAGACGTGATCCTATTGCTCAGTCAAGTTTAATTCAATCCCGTGAAAATCTATTCAAAATTATTATTATGAAATAATGGATTTTTTAAAAAAAAGTCTTGGGGGATCCTTCAGAGGTGGTTCAGGACTTACAGCCATTCATCTAGCGACTGTTACAACGGCTCTGGAAAAAGGGAGTGACAACCGGTCCTCACACTTATGACCGTGGCGGTCATAAGACATTTAGCTCATAAGACATGATCTAAATTCACATGCTTAGCAACTGGCGTGTACTTATGACGGTTGCAGTGTCTGAGGGTCATGCCATCCCCTTTTGCGACCTTCTCGGCTGGTTTTCCATGAGGGAAGATGGATTCACTTAACGACTGCTTAACAACTGCAGTGATTCGCTTCATAGACATGACCAAAAAAGGTTGTAATAGCAGGCCTGATTCACTTAATAACCGCCTTCCTTAGCAGCAGAAATTCTGGCCCTACTTTGGGTTGCATGTTGAGGACTAGCTGCATTGATGACATTTTATTCTTCATCCACTCCATTCTCCCACCCTTCCTTCCTTCCTTCCTTCCTTCCTTCCTTCCTTCCTTCCTTCCTTCCTTCCTTTCTTCCTTCCTTCCTTCCTTTCTTTTCTTCCTTCCTTCCTTCCTTCTTCCCTTCCTCCCTTCCTCCCTTTCTATTTTTTTCTATATTCTTTAAACATTTGAAACGAATCAAGGCGTTCCAATAAAGAAAACAAGAAAAGAATTTGACCCCGGAGTTAAATTCTTTGCCTTTTTTGGAACCAAGCAACCCGTTTTGCTTTTCAAAATTCGGGCTCAGATTTTGAAGTATAAGAGTGATATTATTACAAGGTGCCGGACAGAAACTTCCCCTCCTTTTTTCTTCATTTTGGAAGCAGAAAATAGGTTTCCTACGTCCAATCGTAGTTTTGCAAAAATAACCTCCTGCAAATCCTTGTTTCTCGGCCGGATTTCCATGCATTTTCTCAGGAATGTGGGAAGGAGGAGAGGTTGCAATGGAGAACGGTGGATTGCTGACCCCTGCCTCATATTTTGCGGGGGTGAGTTTCCTTTTTTTTTTTTTTTGGTCCATATTCCTCTTTTTTTTTTTTTCCTGCTGAAATTGCGTTTCTTCCGAAAACAACTTCCAGTACAGAAGCCTTCCACTCCTGTGTGAACGAGCCCACGTTGGAAATAACCCTTTTTTTATATAACTATCAGTTTTCATTCTTGGCTCTTGAAACCTCTTTCTCATGAATTTCAGTTCCCCATCCTTGGGATGGGGTTTGTCACATTTCATTCAGCTGGCCAGGCTGATGCGGGAGGGAGTGGGGGGGCGCAGGGGGAAGTGTGTGGGGGGGAATCATCGTTGGATGAGTAAACCGACATCCGGAAGAAAAAAAAAACCTTTGGCAGGAAATCGCTTCTAAAAATAAAGCAAGTTCCCTCGGAGGGCAATGCTGAAAGGGAGGTAGAATATAGGTAGGCCTCAAAATTTCTGTAGCTCAGTGAGACGGTTGTTAAGTGAGTCTTGCCCCATGTTACCACCTTTCTTGTTGTTAAGCGAATCACTGCAGTTCTTAAATGAGTCACAAATGGTTGTTAAGTGAATGGCTTCCCCGTGAACTTTGCTTGTCAGATGGCAAATGGGGATCACATGACCCCGGAATCCTGCAATCGTCATAAAGATGAGTCAGTTGTCAAATGTTTTAATTTTGATCATGTGATCATGCTGCAATGGTCGTAAGTGTGGGAAATGGTCATAGGTCGCCAATAATGGAGAATATTTGTAGCTCAGGATTGAAATGAGGCGAAATGAGGTTGAAATTGGTGCTCTCTGAGCTTGCTTGATTTCTTGCAGACATTTCATCACCCAACTAGGTAATATCATCAGTGCTACGTCACTTTCCTCAGTGCCACTGTCACTTCGAACGGTCACTAAATGTTGTAAGTCGAGGACTACCTGCAACCTGTTTCTGGATTTGAACAGAAGGGGCATCAGTTCTACCATAAAACCTTCTTTCGTAAGTTGTTGGCGGGCTGTGGGGGGCGTTACCTGGATGGCGCAGAACTCCTGTGCGTAGGCGCCGCTAAAACCGGGCTCCCACGTCACATCCAGGCTGTGGTCACTACGATGGGCAACGGATAAGTCACGTGGCCGTCCAGGTAACACTACGGAGAGGAAATCATTAGCAATATTCACCTGCCAATCAATACCGAGACCACCGATGCTCTAAACAACAGGTTTCGCTCCAGAGGTCCAGTTATAAGGACAGTCGGAGACTTGATGGATAACAACTTCAACAGGCTTCGGGCCTGTTCTGCCTGAAATGCTACCTTTCGGCAGATACAGGAAATATTCCGCAGGTGTAGGAAAACAGATTGTCCCTCAACTTACAACCTGGAGGCACGAATGGCCCTCTACTGCAGGGCAGTGGTGGAATTCACATTTTTTTAGTGGGCGTGGCTTGGTGGGCGTGGCAGGGGAAGGATACTGCAAAATCCCCATTCCCACCCCACTCCTGGCAGAAGGATACTGCAAAATCCCCATTCCCTCCTCACTTTGGGGCCAGCCAGAGGTAGCATTTGCCGGTTCTCCAATCTACTCAAAATTTCCGCTAACGGTTCTTGAGAACAGTGATGGGTTGCCCCCGGTTTGCAAGAACCGGTAGGAAAACCGGCGGGAGGCCCCGCCCACTGCCCCAGATGTCATCATCGGCGATCTGCACATGCGCAGAAGCAACGCGTTTCACTTCTCATCCCAGAAGCTGAAGAAGCTTCTTGGATGAGAAGCGAAATGTCTTCAAAGAAAAACCCAGAAAATCTAGTTGCCTCCTGAAAAAGCACCTTTGGGACAATCATGATCTGGATGATGGAGAGTCTCTACAGACTAAGTTATAATATTGCCATTAAATATAATATATAGCATGATGGAAGGGGAGCAAACCGGGGGTGAAATGCTCCCGGTTCGGACCGGATCGCCCGATCCGGTAGCGATGGCAGCAGATAATTCGGAGAACCGGTAGCAAAAATCCCTGCCCCCCTCCCCATGCTCAGCTGAGTCGCACGATCATCAGAGGCTTTTTTTTTTTTTAACTTTTAAAAGCATTTTTTCTACAACCTCTTCCAACAAAAAAATGCTTTTAAAAGTTAAAAAAAAAAGCCTCTGATGATCGCGCGGCTCAGCTGGGATCGTCAGAGGCTTTTCAAAGCATTTTTGTCTGCAACCTCTTGGCCGAAGAGGTGGTAAAAAAAAAAATGCTTTGAAAAGTCTCCGACGATCCCAGCTGAGTTGCCTGATCGGCAGAGAGGCTTTTCAAAGCATTAGAAAAAATGCTTTGAAAAGTTAAAAAAAAAAAAAATGTTGGCCACCCCCACCCAGTCACATTTATTTATTTGTTTGTTTGTTTGTTTATTTATTTATTTATTTATTAAATTTATATACCGCCCACATTAACCGCACCACCACCAAGCCACGCCCACAGAACCGGTAGTAACACATTTTACATTTCACTCTTTATCAATGCAAAAAATAGCGTTTTGCAGTGTTTTTTAAAAACATGCGCCTTAAGTGGTACCTTCTTTAACCCCCATCGGGCAGTTTCCACACAAACCCATTTACACCGACTATTTGCATTTGGGGGGTCCCCCCAAAATGGATTATTTACAGACACGTCTCTCACCTCTCACCACCGCAGTCCGGGAGGTGCTGACTCCCTTGGCGTTGTGGGCTTCGCACGAGAAGGAGGCGCTGTGATTCAGCCCTGCGAGGAAGCAGCAAACATCAAGAGAAAAAGATGAACGGATTGTGTGACCAACTTTAAATACTTTTAAGGGTAATGCTTTATTTATTTTTATCCCAGTTTTATGTGTTAACAATAACTCAAGGCGGCACACATACCTAATACGTCTTTCTCATTTTCCCCGCAACAACAACTCTGTGGTGGGTTGCACTGAGAGAGAGAGGGACTAGAACTCACCATCACCTGGTGATTGGCCCCATGTCATCCAGTCAGCTTTCTTGCCTAAGGCAGGACTAGAACTCACAGTCTCCTGGTGATTGGCCCAACATCATTTTAGCCAGCTTTCCTAAGGCGGGACTAGAACTCACCATCACCTGGTGATTAACCCAACATCACCCAACCAGCTTTCTTAAGGCAGGACTAGAACTCACCGTCACCTAGTGATTGGCCCAACATCATCCAGCCAGCTTTCCTAACGCAGACCTAGAACTCACTATCTCCTGGTGATTGGCCCAACATCATTTAGCCGTTTTCCTAAGGTGGGACTAGAACTCACCATCACCTGGTGATTCACCCAACATCACCCAACCAGCTTTCTTTCCTAAGGCGAGGCTAGAACTAACCGTCACCTGGTGATCCAACGTCATCCAGCCAGCTTTCCTAATGCAGACCTAGAAGTCACAATCTCCTGGTGATTGGCCCAACATCTAACCAGCTTTCCTAAGGCGGGACTAGAACTTACAGTCTCCTGGTGATTGGCCCAACGTCATCCAGCCAGCTTTCTTAAGGCAGGACTAGAACTCACCGTCACCTAGTGATTGGCCCAAAGTCACCCAGCTTTAAGTCCATGCATGCTAGCATGGGGAATTCTGGGAGCTGAAGTCCACCCATCTTAAAGCTGATAAGGTTGAGATGCACTGACTTAGTGGATGCCTAGAATGGCATCTTTGGAATGACAGCTATCATCTTAAACAACCATCAAAATTTGAATTCAGGGTTGCCTCAAAGTTTGATGCTGGGGTACTCTGCATTTTAACCTTGCTTCTTTGGCCCCTTGTGGCGGGGGGCCAGGATATTTGGAGAAAATCTAAGTTTTGTTTCGTTTCCTGAATGATACTCCGTGGTGTCATTGTTGGACAATCTCAGTAACTTCTCTTTCCTTTCCTCAGCTGCTTTGGAAGCGTTGCTGAGAGGCAAAATATAAATAGATTTTTTTTTTTTCGTCCACAAAGAATTGGAAGAAGGGATTCCCGGTTCGAATCCTGCCACTTTTCGCACTGGTGGTCTTGGGAGAAAAGCCAGGGAGATCATAGAAGTAAACTTGAAAAGCTCTTGCCATAGGCTAAATAAATAACATTTAAAAGCTTTTTTTTCCCCAGACAGGAAATGATGGTTAAACCGAATGAACTCTGCAAAGCAGAGACATTAATTTGAATGAAACCTCATGAAGTCAAGAGGGAGATTGGCAGGCATTCACTCAAGACTGTTTATTTCCATGTTCCCCTATGAACATGGGGGGGAAGAAAATTTTTGTATTTTTTTTGTAAAACTTTTCAATTAAAAAAAAAAAAAGACTGTTTATTTCCTCTGCATGGGAACCCTTGGTGAAGGTACAGAGATAGACCTCTGGATAGTTGAGAAAATATTTCAGAATAATCCCCAGAATTCCCTGGAAGCATCTCTTCCTTTAATTTAAAACAGGAGATACATGCGTGTTAGAACGCAGGAGAGGTCAGAAAGACCAAAATATTCGTGTCCTGGAAGATGCAGCCTAGCCTGGTGTTTTGAAGGGAATTGCCTCTTTGGTTAAATACAGTTCAGTCATTGTCAGTACATGTTTCTGGTACAGCTAGTCCTTGACTTACAACGGTTCATTTAGTGACCGTTTGAAGTTACAACGGCACAGAAAAAAAAAACTTATGATAGTTTTTTCACACTTTCAACCATGGCAGCGGCCCCACTCCACCGGTCACATGAACAAAATTCGGACGCTTGGCAACTGACTCGTATTTATGACGGTTGCTATATCCCGGGGTCACGTGATTCCCTTTTGCAACCTTCTGACAAGCAAAGTCAAGAGAGAAGCCAGATTCACTTAACAACCGCCAAGCCCCAGGGAAAATTGGAAAATCCAGGCAGTTCGAATGAATATAAAGATTTATTTCAAGCTAAAGTTCTCTACAAGAATCTGACTTACTAATAGTCAATTGGCGGCAGTCGTGGGTTTCAAATTTTTGTACTACCGGTTCCGTGGGCGTGGCTTGGTGGGCGTAGCATGGCTTGGTGGGTGTGGCTTGGTGGGCGTGGCAGGGGAAGGATACTGTAAAATCTCCATTCCCACCGCCCTCCAGGGGAAAGTTACTGCAAAATTCCCATTTCCTCCCCGATCAGCTGGGACTTGGGAGGCGGAGAATAGATGGGGGCGGGGCCAGTCAAAATTTTTACTACCGGTTCTCCGAACTACTCAAAATTTCCACTACCGGTTCTCCAGAACTGGTCAGAACCTGCTGAAACCCACCTCTGATTGGCGGTAGATAAGAGTCAAAAAAATTCAAGGTGGGGTGGACTTAGATCTCTTGAGGGCACGTATGGACTCAAGACTGATGACGTGTTTGGTTCCCCCTCCCTTGGGCTCAGCCTGGTCAACTCCTACAACAACCATGTTACTAACTTAATAACTGTAATGATTCACTTAACAGCTGGCTGGGGAATTCTGGGAGTTGAAGTCCACACCTTTTCAACTTGCCAAGGTTAGGCACCCCTGGTTTACGTTTTCCTACAGCAGCCGATTCTTTGAACACATTGTTGTGTGGCTTGGAATCTAGCCCAGATTTAACAATAAGCAGCACCCACAATGGATGTCCTTGTCCTGATTGTACCGTTCCAAGGGCTGGGTCAAACCAGTGGGCACTGGCAGCCACCTGGACAAACAGCGGGCACCGATAAAACGAGGTAGGGGGGGCAAATATTTGAGTGGCATGCTCGCTGGGAGAGAGCCAAAGGCCACAAGTGCTGAAAACAGGAAAGGACCCATGGGATTAACATGTCTAGTCCATCCACTGTGGGTTATACCACTTTCTGACCACATCATTTCTGCAAAGATTTGAGTCAGCAACGGGCAAACATTCCCAGCAGCCGGCAGAAACAGATGTCCTGGCATACAGGAGATTCGAAAAAAAGTTGATTTTTAAATTTTTGCTCCTGTCCATTTCCAGTTCTTTGTCCTGCTAATTTATGGGAGTAAAAGGCAAGAAAAACCAAATGTACAGATACAAATTGGGAGAAACCTGGCCAGATGTGAAATCCATTTTTCTTTACTACCGGTTCTTTGGGCGTGGCTTGGTGGGCATGGCAGGAGAAGGATACTGCAAAATCTCCATTCCCATCCCACTCCAGGGGGAAGGATACTGCAAAATCCCCATTCCCACCCCACTCCAGGGGAAGGATACTGCAAACTCTCCATTCCCTCCCCACTCCAGGGGGAAGGATAGCGCAAAATCTCCATTCCCTCCCCACTCTGGGGCCAGCCAGAGGTGGTATTTGCTGGTTCTCCGAACTGCTCAAAATTTCCGCTACCAGTTCTCCAGAACCTGTCAGAACCTGTCTGGATTTCACCCCTGCCCATCCCGAAGACCAGCCTTCAACCCCCAGAAATCTCCACTCAGGAACCAGACAGACAGACAGACAGAGAGAGAGATAAAAAAAAAAAGCCTTAACCAGTTTTAAAGTGAAAACAGGACCGGAAACACCACTTTTTCATCCCCCTCCTCCTGCTGTGATTTTAGCTTGGTTTAACTGGTATGGAAGAGGCCAGACCTCCCGCCCCTCCCCTCCCCTCCCCTCCCCCCACCACACCCCTCCTTCCTGGTAATTCCTGCAGGCTTTGATCCCAAAGTTTGAATCATCAGCCCCGTCACCTCCAGACCAACATTCCCTGTCTTTGACTCAGCACCAAACGGAATGAAGATTGCTTTATTGGATCTGACCGAGTTGCTGAAGGAATGCAGGCATGTGGGGCAAGGGGTGGTCGGCTACCCACCCACCCACCTACCCACCCAGCCGTCCTTGCCTGCAACATGGGATCTTAATTAAACATTGCTTGCGGGAGGGGTGGGGGTGTCCACTTATTCTGCAAAGCCCCTGAAGGCAGAAGAAGAAGAAGAAGAAGAAGAAGAAGCAACGGATGGAAACTAACTCAGGAGAGAAGCAAGCTGGAACTAAGGAAAAATTTCCTAAGTGAGAACGATTAACCAGGGCCTCCAGAGATTGTGGTTGCTCCAACACTGGAGTTTTTTAAGAAGAGACTGGACAGCCATTTGTCTGAAATGATATAGATCAGCGATGGCTAACCTTTTTGCTGTCGTGTGCCAAAAGCGGGAGCACGGGGGGGGGGTCACGCACGCACGTGGCCACACCCATAGTTCAATGCCCCCCTGCCCCGCCCCCTCACGCATGCACATGTGACCCCCAAACACTCCCCTCGCTTTTGTTACGCGACGGCAAAAAGGTTACCGGAAGGCCCGGTAGGTCCGGTTTTTCGCCCTCCCCAGGCTCCAGAGGCTTCTCTGGAGCCTGGGGAGGGCTAAAACAACCTCCCCCACTCCCCCAGAGGCTGGAAATGGCCCATTTACCAACTTCCAGTGGGCCCAGAAGGCCTGAAAAATCAGCTGGCCGGCACTCGCATGCACGCTGGAGCTGAGCTAGGGCAATGCTCGCGTGCCCACAGATATGGCTCCGTGTGCCACCTGTGGCACGTGTGCCATGGGTTCGCCATCACGGATATAGATTCTCCTGCTTGAGCAAGGGGCTGGACTAGAAGACCTCCAAGGTCCCTCCCAACTCTGTTATTCTGTTGTCTTCTTCAGTTTCCCCCCAACTTGCCAGACCCTGGCTGAGCTCAGCCTCGGGGGGGGGGGGAGGCTGAAGGGGGAGGAAATGGGGGAAAGAGGGCGGAAAAAGGGGACACAAAGGAAGACCATCTCGGGGGGTCGCAGTGCCAGCAGAGCCTCCTGCAAGCAAGCTGAGTTTCCTTCTGCCAAACCGCCGTGTTTGTTTTCTCCTGGCATAGAGAGAACCTGTCTCGCTTTGTCCCCCAGTTGCCTCTGGTCCAACGAGTCTGACGAGTCTGGGAAGATTTATCTGAGGGAATTTCATTTCTTTTCTACGTTGGGACGAGTCTCAAAAGCCCTTTCAAACCTGTCTGGCTGCATGAGGGAGGGGGATTTTTATAAAGGGGGCAGGCGGGACTCTCCCCTCCTGGTTCTGCTTTAAAGAAAACTCAGGCTCCCATCTCTCTCTCTCTCTCTCTCCTTTCTCTCTTCCTCTCTCTCTCACTCTTTATCATCTATCATCTCTCTCTCTTCCTCTCTTTCCCTCTCTATCATCTCCCTCTTTCTCTCTATCATCTCTCTCTACCGCTCACTCTTCCTCTCTCTCTCTCTCTCTCCCTTCTCTCTCCCTCTCCCTCTCTACCATCTCTCTCCCTCTCTTTCTCTCTTTCTCTCACTCTTCCTCTCTCCTTTCCCTCTTCCTCTCTCTCTCTCCCCCTCTCTATCATCTCTCTCTCCCTCTTTCTCTTTCTCTCTCTCTCTCTTCCTCTCTCTCTCTTCTCTCTTCCTCTCTCTCATCTCTCATCTCCCTCTCATCTCTCTGTCTCACTCTCTCTTCCTCTCTCTCACTCATTCTCTATCATGTATCATCTCTCTTTCTTTCTCTCTCTCTCCCTCTCTCTCCCTCTTCCTCTCTCTCTCTCATCTATCATCTCTCTCTCTGTTTCTCTCTCTCTCTCTCATCTCTCTCTCACTCACTCACTCTCTTCTCACTCTCTATCATATATCATCTCTCTCTCTCCCTCCCCTCTTTCTTTCTCTTTCTCTTTCTCTCTTTCTCTCTCATCTCTCTGTCTCTTTCTCTGTCTCTCTTCTCTCTTCAAACTAGAGAATTTCCCTGTCAGCGAGATAAATTAATCAGTGGAACAAATTGCCTTTCAGAAGTTGTGAATTCTCCAACACGGGAGGCTTTTAAGAAGAGATTGGACAACCATTTGTCTGAAATGGTCTAGAGCCGTGATGGCGAACCTATGGCATGGGTGCCCCAGGTGGCACGCGGACCCATATCTGTGGGCACGCGAGCGTTGCCCTACTCAACTCCAGCGCGCACATGCGCACTAGCCAGCTAATTTTCGGGCCTTACGGGCCTACCTGAAGTTGGGAAATGGGCTGTTTCCGGCCTCCGGAGAGCCTCCTGGGTGGAGGACAGAAGGCCGTTTTTGCCCTCCCCAGGCTCCAAGAAGAGCCTCTGGAGCCTGGGGAGGGCAGAAAACGGGCCTTCTGGGCCCACCGGGCCATCACGTGCCAAAAGTGGGGGTAGCGCGGGGGGGTCACGTGCGCATGTCCGGTGGGTGGGGCACATTGAGTTATGGGTATGGGCACACGCATGCACAACCTCCCCCCCCCGCCCCGCATGATCCCCACTTTTGACACACGACAGCAAAAAGGTTAGCCATCTCTGGTATAGAGTTTCCTGCCTGAGGAGGAGTGGGGGTTGGACTAGAGGACCTCCAAGGGCCCTTCCAACTCTGTTCTGAATGATATCCTGCCAGCTCTTGGGAAGAGCCTGGGATAGCTCAACAGACAGAAGCACTGTAATTTAACACCAGCTGTCTGCAATTAAAGTAAGATTGAATCCCACCAGGCTCAAGGTCGACTCAGCCTTCCATCCTTTCTAAGGTAGGTAAATTGAGGACCCAGTTTGTGGGGGGCAATAAACTGACTTTGTATAAATATACAAAAGTATGAAGGCTATTGCTGAGCACATTGTAAGCTGCCCTGAGTCTCCGGAGAAGGGCGGCATATAAATCAAATTAAAAAAAAAAAAAGAGGAAGGTTAAGGCCATCTGATGACTCGAAGAAAAGGTGGCAGGCACCCTTCTCCCGCCTGGGCAGTGCGTGATTCAAGGCACCACCCAGCTCTGGTTTTCCTGGAACCCCGGGGAGATTTCTCAACACCCCTCTCATTGCGATAAACCCCTCCTGCACTTGCATTCGCAAGGTTATGGAATGGGAGGTGGGGGGAACATGTAGATCCAAAACAACCGGGCATATCACATCCTTGTTCTTTTGCTTCCCGTCTCTTTTGCGCAGGCAGGCAGGCAGGCAGATAAAACCCCGGCTTCTTCTTGCCTGCCAACTGCCCAAAAACAATCATTGGTAACGTTGGCCCCGCCGGTTCCCACGCTTGGAGCGAACCCCTCCCCGGCCCCGAGCCATAGGGAATCGTCCCTCTCCATAGAAAAAAAAAAAAAAAGGACAAAGGACGTCGCAAGTTGGGGACAAGCCAGACATTCAGAGGAGTGGGGGAACGAGAAAAGAAGACAATGAACAAGGACGTGGAACTGGGGAGGGGGGGGGCCTGGACGAGGCTGAATGGCGGGGAGAGGAAGGGGGTCTTGCATGCACCGCCGAGCCCCCTTTTTCTGCCGCTGGGAAACCCAAATCCCCACTTTGCAGCCAATGCAACCCCAGAGCCTGAAAGAAAAAGGGTAACTTTTTATGACTTCGTTGGCCAGATATTGGGGGGCGGGGGGGAAAGGCAGACGATGAAAGCCATGAGCCCAGGGGTGAGAGGGATGAAAAAGGGCCCCCTTTTGATCCGTAATTCCTCCTCCTTTCAGCCCCACGGCTATTTTCAGCCCTGGAGTCTGGAGCGAAGGGAAATGAAACCCCAAAGAATGGGGTTTTATCGAGCAAAGTGGCCAAGCCACCATTGGATTTCGTCGCGTTTGGGGAAGGCGCTAAACGGCCTATTGAGGGTGTTCAGACAAACACACAATGCCCCAAACCAGGCTGCCACATTCGGGGTGGCTGGGAGGCGTCGGGGTGCCCAGGAACCCTGCCAACTCAGGAAGGGCTATTCAAAGCCAGGGCACGCAAGGGGGCCATGGGATTCGGATATCGTCCTGTGTCGTGACTGCTTAAAACCATGGTTAGTGGAATCAGACAGAAAGAGATTGTATATTCTTGGTTTGTCTGTGTGGCCTGCCAAGGTTCCTGTTAAAATCTGCAGAGGTGTGGGAAGGGAAGGGAAGGGAAGGGAAGGGAAGGGAAGGGAAGGGAAGGGAAGGGAAGGGAAGGGAGAAGAAGGGAAGGGAATAGAAAAGAAGGAAAGGAAAAGAGATAGAGAAGAAGGAAAGGAAAGGAAAGGAAAGGAAAGGAAAGGAAAGGAAAGGAAAGGAAAAAGGAAAGGAAAAGGAGAAGAAGGAAAGGGAATAGAAAGGAAAGGAAAGAAAAGAGATAGAGAAGAAGAAAGGAAAGGAAAGGAAAGGAAAGAAAGGAAGGAAAGGAAAGGAAGAAAGAGAAGGGTAGGAAAGGAAGAAAAGGAAAGGAAAGGAAAGGAAAGGAAAGGAAAGGAAAGGAAAGGAAGAAAGGAGAAGGGTAGGAGGAAAGGGAAGGGAAGAGAGACGAAGGAAAGGAAAGGAAAGGAAAGGAAGGGAAGGGAAAGGAAGGAAAGGAAAGGAAAGGAAAGGAAAGGAAAGGAAGGGAAAGGAAAAGGAGACGAAGGGAAGGGAAGGGAACGGAAGGAAGTCAGGGGAGGAGACGATGGGAGGAGGGAGGAAGGAAGGAAAGAAGGAGGGGGAAAGGAAAGGAATTCGGAGGACTTGCTAACAAGCCATCATCCCCCATTCCCATACCAACTTTTAAGCCACGGTTGTAATTTGTCACAAACTCCAAATCCCTGGTTGTAACTCCAGGATTAGCTGTGGTCCAGCATGGATGTCATCTCAGCTGTCCTGGGTGAAATCTCCACCCCACCTTGGCAGCTGCTGCCTCTTGAAAGGGGTCCCTTTCTGACCAGAAGAAGAACCGGGGCGTGGCGGTTTAGCTGACTCACCTTTCACCCCCAACACGGAAGGGGTCTCGGCCAGGGGATCCGCCAAGGAGTTAAGGGGAACGCTGTCCTGCAACCAGATGACCGAAACAGGTTCCGGGGGTCCCTGGGCGGCACAGCTGAGGTTGAAGGGAGTACCAGCCGTGATCTCCAGATCTTGGGGCTCCTCGGAGAAAAAGGGGAGGCCTGGCCACGAGAGAGAAGAAAGAAACCGCTTGAACAAACGAGGATTGGTTGGGGATTCACAAGTGGCACTAAACCGCCATTTTTTGAACAAGCCATGATGGCAATGCAAAGCCACGATGGGCTGGTTCACATGAAACAAAGATGAAGAATATGGGTGGGTGGGTGTTGGTGGGTTTGAGCCAAACCAGGATGTTGTCGTCAACAATATCGAAACAAGCACATCTTGGCTTAGTCTTAGTCCTCTGGAATCAACTCCCCTTGGAGCGCCGACTAGCGCCTGACCTTCGCACCTTCCGCCGGGAATTAAAAACTTGGCTTTTCAAATCCCTTGACCTGGTCTGATGATGGGGTTTTAAGGGTTATTAATGGGTTAATTTTAAATTTTTTAGATTTTAGTTTTTATTTTTATTGTGGCTTGTGTTTTATTGTTGTGAGTCGCCCCGAGTCCATTGTGAGATAGGGCGGCATATAAGCCGAATAAAATAAAATAAATAAATAAATAGTCTTATACAGGAATCAAATCAGTGTTTTTCAACCTTTGCGACTTGAAGATGGGTGGGATTCAACTCCCAGAATTCTCCCAGAATTCTGGGAGTTGAAGCCCACCCATCTTCAAGTCGCCAAAGTTGAGAAACAGCATCTAGAATAATTTCCCTCAACCTGGCAACCCGGTTAAAGACCAAAGTCTCGGAATAATGGATGATATTTATAAAAAGTAAATTATTTAAAAGGAATCAAACCTCTGGCCGTTTATGCCGGTTGCTCCTTGAGGCTAGCAGGGAATAAAATTCCCGATTTCTGAACACGGCTGTGCCTCCCCAGGTGTCTACGAAGAGACTCATCACCCCCATGTTACATTTACCTTCTAACTGCAGGTAAGCTTCTTCGGAAAACAATTCAGATCCATTCACCGAGGCCACACACTGGTAATTTCCCATGTCCGAAAGCTGGAGGGAAGAGATGCTGGAGGGAGGAGGGGGGGGGGATGAGGAGGGGGGGGTGGAAGAGATGAGGATATTGGTCAGCAAAGCGGCTCTGAGCATAGATTGTGTTGTCTATGAGACTGGATGCCTGTGAAATCCATGCCTGGGCTGGTTTATCGAACTTAAACCAGTGTTTCTCAGTCTTAGCAACTTTAAGATGTGTGGATTTCAGCTCCCAGAATTCCCTAGCTAGTATATGTGAACTTCAACTCCCAGAATTATCTTAGACAGCATATGCGAACTTCTACTCCCAGAATTCCCTAGCTAGTATATGTGAACTTTGACTCCCAGAATTCCTTAGCCAGCATATATGAACTTCGACTCCCAGAATTCCTTAGCCAGCATATATGAACTTCAACTCCCAGAATTCCTTAGTTAGCATATATGAACTTCAACTCCCAGAATTCCTTAGCCAGCATATATTAACTTCAACTCGGGGGGTGGGGAAGGCTGTTTTTGCCCTCCCCAGGCTCCAAGAAAGCCTCTGGAGTTTGGGGAAGGCAAAAAACAGGCCTACCGGGCCCACCATGCCATCGAGTGCCAAAAGCGGGTTGAGTGCAGGAGGGGGGGTCGTGTGCGCATGCGCAGGACACATTGAATGATGGGTGTGGGCATGTGCTCACGCAACCTCCCCGCGTTCCCCCCATTTTGGCACGTGACAGCAAAAAGGTTAGCCATCACTGTAATAGATTATGCGGAAATGAACAGACTTAACGCTAAAACGCTCCCACATGACACCTCTCCTGCGCGAGCTGCATTGGCTTCCGGTGGTCTTCCGGGTGCGCTTCAAGGTATTGGTTATCTTCAAAGCGCTCCATGGCTTAGGGCCAGGGTATATACGAGACCACCTTCTGCCACCGATAACCTCCCACCGGCCAACACGCTCCCACAGAGAGGGCCTCCTCAGGGTGCCGTCGGTCAGGCAATGTCGGCCGGCGGCCCCCCGGGGAAGAGCCTTCTCTGTGGGGGCACCCGCCCTCTGAAACGAGCTACCCCCACGGATACGACTGATCCCGGACCTCCGGACCTTCCGCTGGGCTCTGAAGACTTTTTTATTTCAGCAAGCCGATCTGGGTTAAAAATCTTTTAATTGGTGAATTTTATGGGTAAGGGGTTTTAAATTGGGGGAAGCCAAAGATAAATTTAATTTTGTTTTATAGTATTTTAATGTTTATATTGTATGTTTTTTAGTTTTGGCTGTTCACCGCCCCGAGTCCTTCGGGAGAGGGGGCGGTATACAAATTTAATAAATAAATAAATAAATAAATAAAAATAAAAGATAAAGGAGATACAGAATACTATTCAACATGGAATAATAGATTCTATCAATGGTTAGATTTGCGTCTTTTTCCAACCACTTCAAGTGGTCTCCAAGATCCCTGGAACCAGACCCAGAGGAATGTAAAAAAAAAAATAATTTTAGCAAAGGGAGGAAAAAAAATGTTCTGAAGGTCTAATATTCCCCAGGCAGGGACCAAGCTGGTTTTTAAACAAAGTGACGGCGATGCATTTGACAAAAAGAGGAACAAATTTGGATTGCCTCACAGTGGCGCCATCTTGACTTTTTTGACTTTCCTTGCCTCACCGCAGCCGACGCAAAAGCTTTGACAAAGCTGATGAAAGACAAAGGAATCGCAGTCTGATGCAACCGGAACTAAAAGTTCAGAGAATGCAGTTTTCAGCTACTAAGGGGAAAGTTTCCAAGGTTTTATTTTTGCGGTGGGGAGAGTTAGTGTTTATCATTAAGAAAAGGTCAGGGACCTTTTTACTCATTTAAAGTCAGGATTCTTTCCTCTTTGGTTTCCTTCCCCAGATTGACTCCCTGCCTCTTCTTCCCTCTTGCAAAGTCAGCGGAGAAAACGGCAGAAGCTTCTTTGGAGGGTTTGTCTCGCAGGCAAGTTCCTTAAAACAATTTTTGTTTCGTTCAGCAAAATCGGGTTTTTATTCCAGGATGTTTATCACAACTGAGTCCAAGGCTGCTTTTATTTTTTTGCAAAGCCAACCCTCACTCTTGCCCCACAAACAAGAAAAAGAAAATGATGAAAAAGAAACTTAAGTTTAAAAAAACAACAACCCCAGATTCGCTGATCCCACATAACTAAGGGGCAAAGTCAATTTTAAAAATGCAACGTGCAATCTAAAGGCATTTCTTTTTTTTAACAGAATAATGGAAGGGACCTTAGAGGACTTCTGTTTTGGCACTCAGTGCCGAAAAGGTTCGCCAATACTGTCCTAGAGTATGTTATTAGCTTCCGTTTAAAAATCAAGTTTCCATCCCTCATGGGCAGTGGCGGGATTCAAATAATTTAACAACCAGTTCTCTGCCTTAATGATTTCTTCCAACAACCAGTTCAGCAAACTGCTCAGAAAGTTAACAACCGGTTCTCCCGAAATGGTGCGAATTGGCCCCACTGCTCATGGGGCTCAGAAAGAAGATTCGGTGTAAAAAAAAAACTAAACTGAACATGCTGATTTGAAGTTTCTTTTGATAAGAGGTTTGCGGTAATGAAGGAACGTTTGGGGAAACATTGCTTGAGAGAAAACTATGATGGGTGAAATCAGGCATTGCGTTAAACGGAGGCCTCTGAACAAACCAGAATAGGCGAGCTTCACCCGTGATGCTCCCTTGCAAACCAAACAAGCCCCATTGAAATTTAGGATGCTATCCATGAAACATTTTTCATAGATGGCATCTTCCGCCAGCTAGAATAGCAAAGATGTTCCCTGGTAATTCACCTAAATGCTGGAAATGTAAGAATAACCATGGAACATACTATCATATCTGGTGGACCTGTCCAGTGACAAAGCAATTTTGGGCCAAAGTTAAAAAGCTTATAGAGGAGATAATACAGGAACCAATAAACTCTGATTCTGGAGAACCAGAGCAATTTTTACTAGGGATTCCAATAGAAAATTATACAAAAGATGTACAATATTTAACACTAGATATATTAACAGCAGCTCGCATAATATATGCGCAGAATTGGAAGAAGGAATGTCCACCAACAGAAGAGGACTTAATTAAAAAAATCCTCAAATGCGCAGAGATGGACAAGTTAACAAAGGAAATTAACGAAAGAGAGGATACAGATTTTTATAGAGTGTGGCACAGATGGTACGACTGGTGGGAGAAAAGGAAAAATGAAAAAAAGGAGTAAAAGAAAAAAGAGGGAAAGGAAAAAAAAAGGAGATTGTGTTGCAGATCAAACTATAGTATAGTAGATATAAGGAAGTTAGATTGTTTAAGCAGATTAATGAAAAAGTTAGAATATATGGAATAATAAGAAAGGATCACCTTAAATGAGCTGATAACAACAGAAAAATGATATGTATATAAGTGTTGTATGTTTTGTGTTTATTTTAATGTGTTTAAAATAAAAAACTTTTTTAAAAAAATAAAGAAAAAGAAAAGAAATTTAGGATGCTGAGGGAACCCAATCCTTGTCTCTCAGCCCAAGAGGGATGTCAGAAGGAGAGAGGCAGGGGAAAACACTGCCAAACTTTCCTTGCTGTGGGTGAACAATCACACACATAATACACACCCCTTACACAGGCTTCTAGTGAGTGTCCCGTTCCCCATGTGACTTGGCCTGTAGGTCCAGAAAACCGGAGAAAGGCACGTGAAGCAGAAGGCACCAGCCAGCTGGACTTCCACCAAGTTCCCCAGCTCGGCCATTGAGCAACTGAAACGAATATTTCCCATGAGTCATATTAACCCATCTGGGGCCAGCTAGCAGACTTCAAGACGCCCCCCCAAGCCAGCCAGCCAGGCATCTTCCCCCCCATTTCCACGAGGAAGCGAAGAACCTGTTCACGTGGAAATGGGCCACCATCTGAGCTTCATCTGAACTTCGCCCATGCGAAGAGGACTCTTGTCTATTTCAGGTCAAAAGTGGCTCTGGTTTTGGGCTTCTTGGATTCCCTTGGACTTCAAAACCCATCGCTCCCAGCCTCCACTCCTTTTAGGAGGAAAAATCACAACTACTTTTGTTTCTACTTGGAAACCGCTGCTGGACTTTGTGCTTGAGGTGGTGGTGGGAAATGAAACTTTGATTTTACGTTTTACCAATGAGATAGGCTTCTTGTTATAGAAATGGCAAGTTTATATTATTATGTAAAAGCAAAAAAAAAATTAAGGTTATTATTTTATTCTCCTGCACCAAAGGAAGTCGGAAGTTAATTCCCTTTTTTTTCTTTTTCCCACACTTTTCCCTTCCCTTCCCCCCCCCACTATCTTTCCTACTATTTTCTTTTGTATTTCTGTATCTTATAGTACTAATACGTAAATAAATAAAACTTTGGAGAGAGAAAAAATTTTGCAAAAGGCTGCTTTACTCAAAACAGCTGACATCCTTGGACAATAACTTTTAACCACATCTGGTTATCTCGGGTCCTTGGAAAGGACTCGACAGGTGGATAAAAATGCCAGATTCAGACTAAACATCTTAGTATAGCACCAACCATAATAATAACAAAGGTTGAAGGTTGAAGGAAGAAACTGAATGCTTCTTAACATGGGATTTTGTTTTATCAGTGGCTAACTAATAGACACAGAAGTTAGAAATTTCAAAGCGTAAAAGAATGACTAATAATATAAGGAAGGTTTACGAAAATGGATAAATGCTACTATTATTATGTGATCATTGTTAATGTTTTGCTTATGCTTATGATTATTTTATTCATTCACCATGAAACTCAGTCAACTGAACATTTAAAAATGCATCATAAATACCATGGACTGATGATCTGTTTTATTCATTAAACATGAAACTCAGTCAACTGAACATTTAAAAATGCGTCACAAATACCATGGACTGGTGCTAATGGTTGATACAGGTTGCTGCCAGCGTCCTAAGTATCAACCAAGTACCTTCTTAAGATGTACCATGTTCCAAGTAGCGCAGTTTTTTGCAGCTCCGCTGGTGTTATTGCAAGAAGCTGCAATTTCTTGATATATTTTATAAAATTCTTGGACATGGTACCAAGTGCCCCGATGACAATGGGTATTACTGTGATATGTTTCATCCATAATTGCGTAGTTCCGATGGCCAGGTCGCGATATTTCGTAAGAGCTAGGTGCCATATCCACAAGCAATGAGGATGGTCTTCTTTATGGAGCTTTCAAAATATTGGTCAGCTGCCCGAGACTTGGTCAAATGGGAGCCAGTTTGTTCTAGTGGCAAAGGCACTAGGCTAGAAAGTGGAGATGTGAGTTCTAATCCTGTTTTAAGCATGAAAGTTGGCTGGGTGACTTTGGCCCAATCACCAGGAGACGGTGAGTTCTAGTCCCACCTTAAGCATGAAAGGCAACTCGGTGACTTTGAGCCAGTCTCTCTCTCTTTCAGCCCAACCTGCCTCATAGAGTTGTTGTTGTGGGAAAAGAGGAGGAGGAAGGCGTGTGGGATATCTTTACCATGTTGAGTTATTTGTAAAAATAATAAAAGCGGGAAACAAACAAAGAAATTGGCCCATTAACCCTGCCAGCCAAGTTGTCTTTTGCTCACCTCAGTTCGCTGGTGGTCATCCATTCTTCTTCTTCCAAAGGCACCTGGATCTGGTTACTGTCGGCAAATTCGAAGACCTTGCCATTCCTCAGCCAGCTGATCTCCGGTGCCTCGCCCAGGGCCAGGACCGAGCAGGTGAGTTTCACATCTTTTCCCAAAGACGAGGTCAAATTTGAAGGACTTTCTTGGAAGTAACCAGCTAGAAGGAAAAAAAGATAAAAGTTGAAATTCTCCAATTTGAAGAAAAGGTAGCACAACATCACAACAGCAACCAAGAATTTAGCTCTCCAAATCTGGAGATCAACCGGATTCGGAGGATTTGCGTATACAAGTCGTCCTCACTTAGAGGCTGTCTCATTTAGTGACTGTTCACAGTTACAACGGTGAGGAAAAAGTAACTTTTTGCAACCAGTCCTTGCATTTATGTCTTTTGCCGGTGTGTAAAGAAAAAGGAAAGCTGAAGTAAGATTGTAAGCATGGTTTTGCTTCACTTAGTGACCGAATTGCTGATTCTAGTTGGGGTCAACCACAAATTGCAACAAAAAAAAAAAAGAAGAAAATGGATAGACTCAACCATGTGACTTCACCTGTGAGCATCCTAAAACAAGTTAACACAAACAAAAAAACCCCGCTAGGAAATTCCTGGAAGCTCAGTACTAATCAACCATCGACGGATAGAGAAAGATAAACCGTATTTACACACCGTTCCAAAGAGACAGTAAAAAAAAAAGCTAAAATGGAAACAAGGTATCCTTTCTAGCAACCAGCACCCAGATAAGCAGGGATTAATACCAGACAAATAATCTAGCAGAAAACAATACCCTAATCGAGGAACTACCAGGAAGAAAACCACATCCCTAGCAACACTGTCAGGACAAGCTACTATATAAATAGAGAGCGCTGATGTTACCTGGTTGTGTATTGAAACATCTGCAAACAAACAGCCAAGCTCAGAGAGCCAGTAAGGACTCCACATTTTAACCCTGACTACGTATCATTTTCTGGCAGTTGCCTGGATTAGTTCTTGCGGTTTTCTTGGCAAGGTTTTTTTTGGGGGGAAATGGTTTGCCGTTGCCTCCTTCTTAGGGCTGAGAGAAAGATGTTTCAATACACAACCAGGTAACATCAGCACTCTCTATTTATATAGTAGCTTGTCCTGACAGTGTTGCTAGGGATGTGATTTTCTTCCTGGTAGTTCCTCGATTACGGTATTGTTTTCTGCTAGATTGTTTGTCTGGTATTAATCCCTGCTTATCTGGGTGCTGGTTGCTGGAAAGGATACCTTGTTTCCGTCTTAGCTTTTTTTATTATTGTCTCTTTGGAACGGTGTGTAAATATGGTTTATCTCTCTCTATCCTTCGATGGTTGATTAGTTTTGAGCTTCCAGGAATTTCGTAGCCAGTTTTTTTTTTTTTAGCTTGTTTTAGGATGCTCACAGGTGAAACCATGGTTGAGTCTCTCCACATGTTGTGAGTTTAAGGAGTTTTCATCCTATCTTCTGACTGGTAGTTGGGGTTCATGGATGAGCTCTGCTAGTCTTCTGCCTTTCTGTCCTATGCAGTGACTGTTGTCATCCTTACACTGTATGTTGTAGATCAGGGGTCTCTAACCTTGGCACCTTTAAGCCTGGTGGACTGCAACTCCCAGAATTCCCCAGCCAGCAAAGCAGTGGAAACAGTCATTTCCATCATTTTTCATTCATCTTTTCTTTTTAACTTTTCTTTTTCTTTTTTACTTTTTCGGGACTGCTCTTTTACCCTTTTACCTTTACTCCAACCTTTATAAAGAAAATTTGAGAATGTGCAGAAATGAATAGATTAACATTGAGAATAAAAGATACAAGAGGAGTCAATGTATTTCAAGACATGGGATAAATTTTATGATCGGTTAGAAAAGAAATATGAATAAGGATATAGAAGTAAAATAGATAGAGAATAGAGGGGAGATAACAATTAGAAAAATAGATACCCAGATGATGCCAAGTAAAAGGAGAAAGGGGAGGGGCGAGGGTAAAAGGGAAAAAAGTGAGATATTATAAAAAGTACGCAAATGATGAAATAAACATAAATAATAATTGAATAAGAAATTGAAATGAGAATAAAGGTAATTAGAAAACCGGGGCTGCTTGAATACCACTTTAGATTGAAAAGGGAAACAACAGGAGAGAGAGGAAGGAGTAGAGAGAGAGGAAGGGAGAAGAGAGGAGAGAAGAGGAGAAAGAAGAAAGGGAAAAGGAGAGGAAGAAAAAGGAGGGGAAAGAGGAGTAGAGGAGAAGGTTAGAAGGGGGGAAGAAGAGAGGAGTGGGGGAAGAGAAGGGGAAGTAGGAAAGAGAAGGAGAGAAAGAACGAAGGAAGTAGGAGAAGAGAGAGGAAGGAAGAGAAGGGGTGGCCTAAGGTCATCTTGATGGCTTTGTGGCTAAACAGGGACTAGAACGTATATGGTCTGTTGGTTTCTAGATTGATGCCGTCGCCACTATACCAAACTGGTTCTCATTTTGGAATGTACCAATTTGAGGCAGCGGGAGGGAACAGCGGCATTCCGATCTGGTTGGCTGCAGTTGTTCATGCTTCGCAATGCTCAACTGGATGATGCCAGCACCTACCCACCTAACAATGGTTCAGGTGTGGCATGGCACCCCACAGAGATGCAGGATGGATCTGGACAGAACATAGAGTCAGCCTCTATCGGAGATCCTGGAAGTACTTCTTTGCCTTGCTAGAAATCCCAGGGCTGCAAAGCTTTGAATGACCATCGGAGGGCGGCATAGAGATGCAGAGTCCCTGACTCTTTGCTGCCACCTAATGGCCGTCTGGAATATTTGCAGCATGGTGCAAATTGAGGTTGACGGAATCCAGTTTCTTGATTACTGTAATCTGTCTGTCTAGGTCAGTGTTTCTCAACCTTGGCAACTTTAAGGGGTGTGGACTTCAACTCCCAGAATTCCCCACCCACTGGGCAATTGAAGTCCTTTTCGATGTGCATTTTAACACAATGCAAAGAAAGCGGAGTTTCAATTCTGCAGTCACAGTGCCATCTTAATGTCTGGGCCTCTCTTGTGGTCACCTCTGCTGTCGGTTTACATGTCTTTCTCCATTAATCTTTTTCTTTTTAATCTCCCCAACGGTATAATGTAATTATCTAGGTTGCCCATATCTTCAAATGCAGAGATATCTGCAACTAAATGGCTGGGGTCAGATGGGGCCAGAGTCCAGTGGGAGCAATGGGAGGTCACGGTTTGCTATTATTGTCAGTGGGGCAAGAGTGTTAAAGGAAGGAAGGAAGGAAGGAAGGAAGGAAGGAAGGAAGGAAGGAAGAAAAAAGAGAGAAGAGAAAAGGGAGGGAGGGAGGGAGGGAGGGAGGGAGGAAGGAAGGAAGGAAGGAAGGAAGGAAGGAAGGAAGGAAGGAAGAAGGGAAAAGAGAAAAGGGAGGGAGGGAGGGAGGGAGGGAGGAAAGAAGTCAAGAAGGAAGGAAGAAAAAAGGGAAAAGAAAAAAGGGAAGGAGGGAGGAAGGAAAGAAGGAAGGAAGGAAAGAAGGAAGAAAGAAGAAAGGGAAAAGAGAAAAGGGAGGGAGGGAGGAAGGAAGTCAAGAAGGAAGGAAGAAAAAAGGGAAAAGAGAAAAGGGAGGGAGGGAGGAAAGAAAGAAAGAAGGAAGGAAGAAGAAAGAGAAAAGAAAAGGGAGGGAGGGAGGGAGGAAGGAAGGAAGGAAGGAAGGAAGGAAGGAAGGAAGGAAGGAACAAGATTGGAGGGAGGGAGGGAGGAAGGAAGGAAGAAGATTGGAGGGAAGGAAGAAGTAAGGAAAGAAGGGAGAGAGGAGGGGAGGAAGAGATAGAGACAGATAAGAGGAGGGAAGGAGGGAGTGGGGAGGAAGCAAGCAAAAAGAAAGGAAAGAGGGAAGAAGGGAAGGAAGGAAGAAGAAAAGAGGGAGGGAAGGAAAGAAGGAAATAAAAGAGTGTAAGAAAGCGAGAGAGGGAAGGAAAAAAAGGTTCTCCCACCCTTCCCAACTACCCCAACATGCCCTGCCAAGGACCCAGCCCCTGCCCTCTGCCTGCTCTCTCAACCCAGCTCACTCGGAGGCTCCCCCTGTGCCAGGCAAAACCCAGAAAATCAAGCAAACACTTTCTTCCCAGCCAAATGCGAGGGTGGCCAACCCAAAACCTGACTCTCAAGGGCTGGAACTTGTGAAAATACGCCCATCGTCCCCAGCCAGGAGGACCAGGCCGGCAGTAAAAGATGGGTTTAGGGTTTAGAAGCAGGAATGGACAACTATGGCCGCTTTACGACTTGGGGACTACAACTCCCAGAATTCCTGAGGCCAGCATAGCTGAAGAATAGCATAACATAACCTGCTCAGGAATTCTGGGAGTTGAAGTCCACCGATCATGTGGAGGGAAAGAGGGAAGGAGATGCCTGGGGCCCTTTAATAAATAAAACAAATAAAATGAAATCCCCGCCTGGGAGCGGAGTTAACCCTTGAGGCATGAGGGACAAATTCCAGGGCCTGAGAACCGAAGTGCCGTAGTGGGAAGGAGCCCAGAGTTCACCCCAGGGGCCTCTCCTTCCTTTCTCAAGACAGAATTTTCGTTTTGGGGAGGGGAGAAGAGGGAGGAGAGCGCCCACGCCCAGGACTTGAACCGGTTCCCAGTCCCTCGGCAAGAAATATCGCATTCTTTCCTCACCCCCCCCCATCCCCTTTTGCTGGCCTGCTCTTCAAAACCCAGTTATAACCCCCCTATATCTACTACCTAAATACCTGCTATCTACTAAATATCTACTATCTAAATTTACTATCTCTACACAAAGTTCAAGAATCAGAAACTCTGTCACTGGACGTCTTTAGTGCTGAGTTCTAGCAACTGCACCAAGACCTCCCAGTCGGTTTGCTGGATGACAAGAGGGAAGCCGTGATTGGCCATACAGGGAGTCCTCGATTTACGGACGTTCGTTTAGCGAATGTTCAAAGAAGGAGCCGTGGTGGCGCAGTGGTCAGAATGCGGTATTGCAGGCAGACTCTGCCCGCTGACAGCAGTTCGATCCTGAGCAGATCAAGGTTGATTCAGCCTTCCGTCCTTGCGAGGTCGGTAAAACGAGGACCCAGATTGTTGGGGGCAAGATGCTGATTCTTTAAACCGCTTAGAGAGGGCTGTAAAGCACTGTGAAGCAGTATATAAATCTGAGTGCTATTCCTTCCTTCCTGTTAGAG